ACAATTCGTTACTCTTAATATTACCCTTATACTATAAATATTACACGTCATAATATACACTATTCCAATTCATAATATACTATTACATTATTAATATCTCTATTACATTCATAATATCAATCTTACCCATTCATAATTACACTATTATCTTATTAATATACAATTTACCATTCATATATACACTCTTTACATTATAATATACTATCTTACACCTTTTAATATACTTATTACACCTTCATACTAATCACTTCTTAACATTCATAATCTAAATCTTACCCTTCATAATCTAATATTACTCCTTCATACTCTCAATATTCCTTCATAATATACCACTTACCCTTATTCAATCATATTCCACATTCATATATACATATTATCATTCTTATATTACAATTTATCATCTTAATATACATGTACTCTTCATAATATCCTATATTACCATTATTATATACACTATTACAATTTTCTCTCAATATTCACATTTATTATATCAATATTACTCCTTCTTAATATTTTTAACTATCTCCTTATTAATCTCAATATTCCTCATTCTTATCATAACTCTTATCATTCTTTATCTCACTATTTACCCATTAGTATATAATATTAACTTATACTATAACTATATTACACTCATTATATCTATATATATTACTATTTTAATTACACTTTACCCATTCATTATATCCTCTTACTCATTCATTATATATATATTAACTTTTTATATACTATATTACACTTTAATCTAATATTCCACCTCATTATATACATATTCACATTATAAATCCAATATTTACACTTCTTAATATATATTTAACATTTGTTCTCTATATATACCCTTTTATATCCTATATTCCAATTTTTAATATCCATTTACACATTTAATATATATATTCTTCTTTATATACTCTATTAATTTCTTTATATTACTATATTACACATACTTAATATACTTATATTACACCTACTTACTATTTACCTATCTTACACCTTACATTATATAAATATTTACCCATTCATTTATATACTATATTACTATTCTTTATATATATACTTCCCATCTTTTATATTATTATTCCTCATGCTTTTATAAATATGACATCATTCTTACTATATATATTATCTTCTATATATATATTACACCATCTTTTCTATCTATTACTCCTAATTATAAGGTTTTTGTTTTTTTTTTACAACTATTTTACTCCTTAATTTATATACATATTACACATCTTTCTTTACTCTATTACTCATTCTTTATGACTATATTACACATAATTATTACTATATTATCATTTTTATATAAATATTAGCATTCTTAATATACTATATGTACTATTACTTTATAGAAATATACTCATCAGTATCCTTGACTATATTCTATTATAATATCATATTACTCATCTTAATATTACTAATATTAACTCATACTTTATATCTATATTACTCATTCTTATATACACGAGTACCCATTCTTTATATTTATATTACACATTCATAATATATATATTACACAGACTTATATAAAGAATTACACATTCTTTATATACTATATTACTCAGTCTGTATATTATATAGTACTCATTCATTTATTAAAGAGTACACATTCTTATATATAGATTACACATTTTTATATGTATATTAACATGCTTTCTATTACTTATAGTACACATTCTTTAATCCTAGTATTCTATTCTTTATGAGTCTAGTATGACACAGATTTAGCTAAATATGACACAGGCTTTATGATACTATATTCCATTTTTAGATATAGAGTACCATGCTTTAGATACTCGAGTACTCAGGCTGTAGGACTAGATTAGCAGTTAATGATACTATATGACACAGGTTTAGAGACTATAGGACAACATGCTGTAGAAGGCTAGAGGACACAGGCTGTAGAGGCTAGAGGACGCAGGCTGTAGAGGACTAGAGGAGCAACAGGGCTGTAGAGACTTAGACAGGACACAGGCTTTAGAGAACTAGAGGACGCAGGCTGTAGAGACTAGAGGGACCACAGGGCTGACGAGGACAAGAGGACGCAGGGCGGTAGAGACTAGAGGGCAACACAAGGCTGTAGCGGCTAGAGGCGAACAACAGGCTCTGTAGAGACTAGAGGACGCAGGCTGTTAGAAGACTAGAGGGATCGACAGGCTGTAGAGACTAGAGCACGCAGGCTGTAGAGGCTAGAGGACGCATTCATTATATTCATATCTTCTCATTCTAATTACAATATTACCTTCTTTATTATTCACTATTACAATTCTTACTTCTTATTCACCATCATTATATTAAGCAATATTACATCATTATATCAATATTACAATTCTAATATCAATATTACTCTTACTTAATATCCAATATTACACTTCTTAATATATATATTACACATCATTCTATACACTATTACCATTCTTTCTATTCAATATTACCCGTCATTTATATCTATTAACCTTATATATTAATATGACAATTTTAATCTCTATATTCCACCTTCTTAATCGTCAATATTACCATTTTATTACTATATTACCACCTTATAATTATATATTACTCATTCTGTAGTACTATATTACATTTTAATAGTCCTATATTACACATTCTTTATATTTATTACCATTCATTATAGACAATATTACTCATCCTTAAGCTACTATATTAACATTCTTTCTCTCTATATTCTCATTCTTACATAACATCCTATCTACACCTTATAATATAAATATTCCATTCATAATCATTACAATATACACTTCATTATTCCAATCGTTACACCTATCTTTTATATATATCTTACCCCTTATACTATTCACTCATCCACTTTAATCTATATATTCACTCATTCATACTATATATATTACAATTATTATCTACTTATTAACATTTTTCTATAAATATTACTCATCTTTTTCTATACAATAGTACACATTCATTATATCAAGATTCCTATTTTAAATATAAACTATATTTAACATTACTTAATATCCAATATTACTCATTTTATATATACTATATTATCATTCTTTATATACTATAGTATCAGTCTTATACATCACTACATTTATTTTATTATAACTTCGCTCATATCACTCTATAAAAAACCATCATAAATAATACAATTTTAATCAATTTCTCACGATTTCACTAATTATTTATACAGATACCACTTTTATTATACAAAATGCAATATTATTACAACAATTATAAAAAAATCTTTTAAAGCTTCTCTTACCCATACCCACCCATACTATTTAGATAATTCACTCTTAAAACACAATAATTACATCAATCAATCCCATAATAAAAAATAAAAACATATAACCCCCCCCCCCCCCCCCCCCCCCCCCCCCCCCCACAACTTTTTTCTTGTTCTCTTCTGCACTATCAGAACTCTGACCAAGAAAACACGCTCAAGACATACGTTAACCTACAGATGCTAACCTACAGATGCTAACATGCAGATGCTAACCTACAGATGCTAACATGCAGATGCTAACCTACAGATGCTAACATGCAGATGCTAACCTACAGATGCTAACCTGCAGAGGCTAACCTACAGATGCTAACCTACAGAGGCTAACCTACAGATGCTAACCTACAGAGGCTAACCTACAGATGCTAACCTGCAGAGGCTAACCTACAGAGGCTAACCTACAGAGGCTAACCTACAGAGGCTAACCTACAGATGCTAACCTGCAGAGGCTAACCTACAGAGGCTAACCTACAGAGGCTAACCTACAGAGGCTAACCTACAGATGCTAACCTACAGAGGCTAACCTACAGATGCTAACCTACAGAGGCTAACCTACAGATGCTAGCCTGCAGATGCTAACCTACAGAGGCTAACCTACAGATGCTAGCCTGCAGATGCTAACCTGCAGATGCTAACCTGCAGATGCTAACCTGCAGATGCTAGCCTGCAGATGCTAGCTTGTGCTTTACAGATGAAGGTTCGGCGGTCTCTATGGGTTTGCTGCTCCGTGTTTTGCAGAGATATTATCAGTGATGAATGCAGAGTGTAATGATCTGATGTAGGCGTCGGAAGCGTGTGAAAAACATGATAAAAACGGCACAAAGACACAGCTGTTTCCATGACGACGGCGTATGGTTCCAAACGCACATGGGGCTACTGCGATGCTAGTCTCAGGTTTACTGCTTTGGTATAAGTCTGAGGAGCACAGGGACTGGCCTCCTGCTGGGACTCTGAGGAGCACAGGGACTGGCCTCCTGCTGGGACTCTGAGGAGCACAAGGACTGGCCTCCTGCTGGGACTCTGAGGAGCACAGGGACTGGCCTCCTGCTGGGACTCTGAGGAGCACAAGGACTGGCCTCCTGCTGGGACTCTGAGGAGCACAAGGACTGGCCTCCTGCTGGGACTCTGAGGAGCACAAGGACTGGCCTCCTGCTGGGACTCTGAGGAGCACAGGGACTGGCCTCCTGCTGGGACTCTGAGGAGCACAGGGACTGGCCTCCTGCTGGGACTCTGAGGAGCACAAGGACTGGCCTCCTGCTGGGACTCTGAGGAGCACAAGGACTGGCCTCCTGCTGGGACTCTGAGGAGCACAGGGACTGGCCTCCTGCTGGGACTCTGAGGAGCACAGGGACTGGCCTCCTGCTGGGACTCTGAGGAGCACAGGGACTGGCCTCCTGCTGGGACTCTGAGGAGCACAGGGACTGGCCTCCTGCTGGGACTCTGAGGAGCACAGGGACTGGACTCCTGCTGGGACTCTGAGGAGCACAGGGACTGGACTCCTGCTGGGACTCTGAGGAGCACAGGGACTGGCCTCCTGCTGGGACTCTGAGGAGCACAGGGACTGGACTCCTGCTGTGGACTCTGAGGAGCACAGGGACTGGCCTCCTGCTGGGACTCTGAGGAGCACAGGGACTGGCCTCCTGCTGGGACTCTGAGGAGCACAGGGACTGGACTCTTGCTGGGACTCTGAGGAGCACAGGGACTGGACTCCTGCTGTGGACTCTGAGGAGCACAGGGACTGGCCTCCTGCTGGGACTCTGAGGAGCACAGGGACTGGACTCCTGCTGTGGACTCTGAGGAGCACAGGGACTGGCCTCCTGCTGGGACTCTGAGGAGCACAGGGACTGACCATTCCATTCTATTGCCGTTATATAAACTATTCTTGGACTTAACCTGTGCCATTGTCAATGTCAGATGTATTTGTTGCACATCTAGACAGACATAAGACGCACATCTAGACAGACATAAGACGCACATCTAGACAGACATAAGACGCACATCTAGACAGACATAAGACGCACATCTAGACAAACATAAGACGCACATCTAGACAGACATAAGACGCACATCTAGACAGACATAAGACGCACATCTAGACAGACATAAGACGCACATCTAGACAGACATAAGACGCACATCTAGACAGACATAAGACGCACATCTAGACAGACATAAGACGCTTGCCGGTGGTCACAGCAGATCAAATCATAATAACATATTGTCCAGATAGAAAAACACAAAGCAACATCTCACTGGAAATATCTCTTCAGCACAAAATATGAGAAATAAGTAAAATACTGCTTAAAATAATAACAAATTGATAATAGATAACAATGAAATATGATTTAAGATTTCTGATAATAATTAAATAAAACTAGCCCCAAACCGCTTGATTCTAGTTTAAAAACACACATTTCAAGAATTCTTTACTTATTTCTTAAACATTTTTGATGTTTTCTTAAAATTTAGCATCACAAACTTATTTTATCAAAACAAGAAAAGTCTCGAAATTAGAATAAAATACCTGAAAAAAAGCTCCAAAACTCACTGCTCAGACTACAGATGCTAACCTACAGATGCTAACATACAGATGCTAACATACAGATGCTAACTTACAGATGTTAACCTACTGATGCTAACCTACTGATGCTAACATACAGATGCTAACCTACTGATGCTAACCTACAGATGCTAACCTACAGATGCTAACCTACTGATGCTAACATACAGATGCTGACCTACTGATGCTAACATACAGATGCTAACCTGCAAATGCTAACCTACTGATGCTAACTTACTGATGCTAACATACAGATGCTAACCTGCAGATGCTAACCTACAGATGCTAACCTAGTGATGCTAACATACAGATGCTAACCTAGTGATGCTAACATACAGATGCTAACCTACAGATGCTAACCTACTGATGCTAACATACAGATGCTAACCTAGTGATGCTAACCTACAGATGAAAACACGCTAAAAACAAACAAAAACTCACTGCTCAGACTTTTTTCTCTAATATTATTATGAATTATCTTAAAACTAGTGAAATAATCTTATGACAAACTACATTCAAGCAACAAAAACTTACAAATAAGCATCATTTATGTTGGTTTTAGTGAATAAATCTGACCCAGATCAGACTTTTTTTCAGTGTAAGCAGACAGTAGATGTATAAAATGGTGTAGTACTGACCCGAGCGTTGTCATGGTGACGATGGTGTACCAGAAGGAGGCGGGGATGGAGGTGAAGTCCGAGCCCTTGGTGCCCTTCTCGGCGTAGAACATGACGGTGGCGAAGATGATGATGGCCATGGTGAGGGAGAAGAGGAGGAAGCCCAGCTCAGAGGCACAGCTCTTCAGGGTGTATCCCAGAATCCTCAGGCCCTGGATCCAATGAGGAAGTAAGTAAGTAATACACAACAGTCTGTCGTGATTAAAGGCATAAATAAAGACATATTAGAGCCCTTTAATGAAGACAGATTAAGGCCCTTTAATGATGACAGATTAGGGCCCTTTAATGAAGACAGATTAAGGCCCTTTAATGATGACAGATTAGGGCCCTTTAATGAAGACAGATTAAGGCCCTTTAATGATGACAGATTAGGGCCCTTTAATGATGACAGATTAGGGCCCTTTAATGATGACAGATTAGGGCCCTTTAATTATGACAGATTAGGGCCCTTTAATGATGACAGATTCGGGCCCTTTAATTATGACAGATTAGGGCCCTTTAATGATGACAGATTCGGGCCCTTTAATTATGACAGATTAGGGCCCTTTAATGATGACAGATTCGGGCCCTTTAATGATGAGAGATTATGGCCCTTTAATGATGACAGATTAGGGCCCTTTAATGATGACAGATTAGGGCCCTTTAATGATGACAGATTATGGCCCTTTAATGATGACAGATTAGGGCCCTTTAATGATGACAGATTAGGGCCCTTTAATGATGACAGATTCGGGCCCTTTAATTATGACAGATTAGGGCCCTTTAATGATGACAGATTCGGGCCCTTTAATTATGACAGATTAGGGCCCTTTAATGATGACAGATTCGGGCCCTTTAATGATGACAGATTAGGGCCCTTTAATGATGACAGATTAGGGCCCTTTAATGATGACAGATTCGGGCCCTTTAATGATGACAGATTCGGGCCCTTTAATGATGACAGATTAGGGCCCTTTAATGATGACAGATTAGGGCCCTTTAATGATGACAGATTAGGGCCCTTTAATGATGACAGATTATGGCCCTTTAATGATGACAGATTAGGGCCCTTTAATGATGACAGATTAGGGCCCTTTAATGATGACAGATTAGGGCCCTTTAATGATGACAGATTAGGGCCCTTTAATGATGACAGATTAGGGACCTTTAATGATGACAGATTAGGGCACTTTAATGATGACAGATTAGGGCCCTTTAATGATGACAGATTAGGGCCCTTTAATGATGACAGATTAGGGCCCTTTAATGATGACAGATTATGGCCCTTTAATGATGACAGATTAGGGCCCTTTAATGATGACAGATTAGGGCCCTTTAATGATGACAGATTAGGGCCCTTTAATGATGACAGATTAGGGCCCTTTAATGATGACAGATTAGGGACCTTTAATGATGACAGATTAGGGCACTTTAATGATGACAGATTAGGGCCCTTTAATGATGACAGATTCGGGCCTTTTAATGATGACAGACTAGAGCCCTTTAATGATGACAGACTAGAGCCCTTTAATGATGACAGACTAGGGCCCTTTAATGATGACAGATTTGGGCCTTTTAATGATGACAGACTAGGGCCCTTTAATGACGACAGATTCGGGCCCTTTAATTATGACAGATTAGGGCCCTTTAATGATGACAGATTAGGGCCCTTTAATGAGGACAGATTAGGGCCCTTTAATGATGACAGATTAGGGCCCTTTAATGAGGACAGATTAGGGCCCTTTAATGATGACAGATTAGGGCCCTTTAATGATGACAGATTAGGGCCCTTTAATGATGAAGGCTCGTGGTCGTACCTGTGAGTGGCGTGAGAACTTGAATATCCGGAAGACCCGGAACACCCGGAGCGTGACGAAGGCGCCGCTCACGTCCTCGTTCTCGGGCATGACCAGGCCGATGTAGTACGGCATGATGGCGACCACGTCGATCACCGACATCACCGAGCGCATGAAGCGGCAGCGGCTCGGCGCGGCAAAGAGGCGCAGCAGGTACTCGAAGGTGAAGATCAGCACGCACGCCGTGTCCATGCAGAAGAACGCCACCTGGTACACACACATGGTTTATGGTTACACACAACAGCACGCCGTGTCCATGCAGAAGAACGCCACCTGGTACACACACATGGTTTATGGTTACACACAACAGCACGCCGTGTCCATGCAGAAGAACGCCACCTGGTACACACACATGGTTTATGGTTACACACAACAGCACGCCGTGTCCATGCAGAAGAACGCCACCTGGTACACACACATGGTTTATGGTTACACACAACAGCACGCCGTGTCCATGCAGAAGAACGCCATCTGGTACACACACATGGTTTATGGTTACACACAACAGCACGCCGTGTCCATGCAGAAGAACGCCACCTGGTACACACACATGGTTTATGGTTACACACAACAGCACGCCGTGTCCATGCAGAAGAACGCCACCTGGTACACACACATGGTTTATGGTTACACACAACAGCACGCCGTGTCCATGCAGAAGAACGCCACCTGGTACACACACATGGTTTATGGTTACACACAACAGCACGCCGTGTCCATGCAGAAGAACGCCACCTGGTACACACACATGGTTTATGGTTACACACAACAGCACGCCGTGTCCATGCAGAAGAACGCCACCTGGTACACACACATGGTTTATGGTTACACACAACAGCACGCCGTGTCCATGCAGAAGAACGCCACCTGGTACACACACATGGTTTATGGTTACACACAACAGCACGCCGTGTCCATGCAGAAGAACGCCACCTGGTACACACACATGGTTTATGGTTACACACAACAGCACGCCGTGTCCATGCAGAAGAACGCCACCTGGTACACACACATGGTTTATGGTTACACACAACAGCACGCCGTGTCCATGCAGAAGAACGCCACCTGGTACACACACATGGTTTATGGTTACACACAACAGCACGCCGTGTCCATGCAGAAGAACGCCACCTGGTACACACACATGGTTTATGGTTACACACAACAGCACGCCGTGTCCATGCAGAAGAACGCCACCTGGTACACACACATGGTTTATGGTTACACACAACAGCACGCCGTGTCCATGCAGAAGAACGCCACCTGGTACACACACATGGTTTATGGTTACACACAACAGCACGCCGTGTCCATGCAGAAGAACGCCACCTGGTACACACACATGGTTTATGGTTACACACAACAGCACGCCGTGTCCATGCAGAAGAACGCCACCTGGTACACACACATGGTTTATGGTTACACACAACAGCACGCCGTGTCCATGCAGAAGAACGCCACCTGGTACACACACATGGTTTATGGTTACACACAACAGCACGCCGTGTCCATGCAGAAGAACGCCACCTGGTACACACACATGGTTTATGGTTACACACAACAGCACGCCGTGTCCATGCAGAAGAACGCCACCTGGTACACACACATGGTTTATGGTTACACACAACAGCACGCCGTGTCCATGCAGAAGAACGCCACCTGGTACACACACATGGTTTATGGTTACACACAACAGCACGCCGTGTCCATGCAGAAGAACGCCACCTGGTACACACACATGGTTTATGGTTACACACAACAGCACGCCGTGTCCATGCAGAAGAACGCCACCTGGTACACACACATGGTTTATGGTTACACACAACAGCACGCCGTGTCCATGCAGAAGAACGCCACCTGGTACACACACATGGTTTATGGTTACACACAACAGCACGCCGTGTCCATGCAGAAGAACGCCACCTGGTACACACAAGGAGGACACCTGGTGCGCACACATGGTTACACACAAGGAGGACACCTGGTGCACACACATGGGTACACACAAGGAGGACACCAGGTACACACAAAGCCACAGGTACACACAAGCTGGGCCTTTATCCCCACCGCTGTCAGACTGTACAACAAGTCACTTTAAGTCACTGCATTTATTGCACTGCACTATTGACACTGTTTCTTTGCCACTTTTTATTGTACATAATATATCCTCCATGAAAACAAGCACTAGCACTTTTCTTCTTCTACTGTCTGAAAACAAGCACTAGCACTTTTCTTCTTCTACTGTCTGAAAACAAGCACTAGCACTTTTCTTCTTCTACTGTCTGAAAACAAGCACTAGCACCTTTCTTCTTCTACTGTCTGAAAACAAGCACTAGCGCCTTTCTTCTTCTACTGTCTGAAAACAAGCTCTAGCACTTTTCTTCTTCTACTGTCTGAAAACAAGCACTAGCACCTTTCTTCTTCTACTGTCTGAAAACAAGCACTAGCACCTTTCTTCTTCTACTGTCTGAAAACAGGCACTAGCACCTTTCTTCTTCTACTGTCTGAAAACAAGCACTAGCGCCTTTCTTCTTCTACTGTCTGGAAACAAGCACTAGCACCTTTCTTCTTCTACTGTCTGAAAACAAGCACTAGCACCTTTCTTCTTCTACTGTCTGAAAACAAGCACTAGCGCCTTTCTTCTTCTACTGTCTGAAAACAAGCACTAGCACCTTTCTTCTTCTACTGTCTGAAAACAAGCACTAGCACCTTTCTTCTTCTACTGTCTGAAAACAAGCACTAGCACCTTTCTTCTTCTACTGTCTGAAAACAAGCACTAGCGCCTTTCTTCTTCTACTGTCTGAAAAGAAGCACTAGCACCTTTCTTCTTCTACTGTCTGAAAACAAGCACTAGCACCTTTCTTCTTCTACTGTCTGAAAACAAGCACTAGCACCTTTCTTCTTCTACTGTCTGAAAACAAGCACTAGCGCCTTTCTTCTTCTACTGTCTGAAAAGAAGCACTAGCACCTTTCTTCTTCTACTGTCTGAAAACAAGCACTAGCACCTTTCTTCTTCTACTGTCTGAAAACAAGCACTAGCGCCTTTCTTCTTCTACTGTCTGAAAACAAGCACTAGCGCCTTTCTTCTTCTACTGTCTGAAAACAAGCTCTAGCACCTTTCTTCTTCTACTGTCTGAAAACAAGCACTAGCACCTTTCTTCTTCTACTGTCTGAAAACAAGCTCTAGCGCCTTTCTTCTTCTACTGTCTGAAAACAAGCACCGTCTAGCACCTTTCTTCTTCTACTGTCTGAAAACAAGCACTAGCGCCTTTCTTCTTCTACTGTCTGAAAACATGCACTAGCGCCTTTCTTCTTCTACTGTCTGAAAACAAGCACTAGCGCCTTTCTTCTTCTACTGTCTGAAAACAAGCACTAGCACCTTTCTTCTTCTACTGTCTGGAAACAAGCACCGTCTAGCACCTTTCTTCTTCTACTGTCTGAAAACAAGCACTAGCACCTTTCTTCTTCTACTGTCTGAAAACAAGCTCTAGCGCCTTTCTTCTTCTACTGTCTGAAAACAAGCACTAGCACCTTTCTTCTTCTACTGTCTGAAAACAAGCACTAGCGCCTTTCTTCTTCTACTGTCTGAAAACAAGCACTAGCGCCTTTCTTCTTCTACTGTCTGAAAACAAGCTCTAGCACCTTTCTTCTTCTACTGTCTGAAAACAAGCTCTAGCGCCTTTCTTCTTCTACTGTCTGAAAACAAGCACCGTCTAGCACCTTTCTTCTTCTACTGTCTGAAAACAAGCACTAGCGCCTTTCTTCTTCTACTGTCTGAAAACAAGCACTAGCACCTTTCTTCTTCTACTGTCTGAAAACAAGCACTAGCGCCTTTCTTCTTCTACTGTCTGAAAACAAGCACTAGCACCTTTCTTCTTCTACTGTCTGAAAACAAGCTCTAGCGCCTTTCTTCTTCTACTGTCTGAAAACAAGCACCGTCTAGCACCTTTCTTCTTCTACTGTCTGAAAACAAGCACTAGCGCCTTTCTTCTTCTACTGTCTGAAAACAAGCACTAGCGCCTTTCTTCTTCTACTGTCTGAAAACAAGCACTAGTACCTTTCTTCTTCTACTGTCTGAAAACAAGCACTAGCACCTTTCTTCTTCTATTGTCTGAAAACAGGCACTAGCACCTTTCTTCTTCTACTGTCTGAAAACAAGCACTAGCGCCTTTCTTCTTCTACTGTCTGAAAACAAGCTCTAGCACCTTTCTTCTTCTACTGTCTGAAAACAAGCACTAGCACCTTTCTTCTTCTACTGTCTGAAAACAAGCACTAGTACCTTTCTTCTTCTACTGTCTGAAAACAAGCACTAGCACCTTTCTTCTTCTACTGTCTGAAAACAAGCACTAGTACCTTTCTTCTTCTACTGTCTGAAAACAAGCACTAGCACCTTTCTTCTTCTACTGTCTGAAAACAAGCACTAGCACCTTTCTTCTTCTACTGTCTGAAAACAAGCACCGTCTAGCACCTTTCTTCTTCTACTGTCTGAAAACAAGCACTAGCGCCTTTCTTCTTCTACTGTCTGAAAACAAGCACTAGCACCTTTCTTCTTCTACTGTCTGAAAACAAGCACTAGCACCTTTCTTCTTCTACTGTCTGAAAACAAGCACTAGCACCTTTCTTCTTCTACTGTCTGAAAACAAGCACTAGCGCCTTTCTTCTTCTACTGTCTGAAAAGAAGCACTAGCACCTTTCTTCTTCTACTGTCTGGAAACAAGCACTAGCACCTTTCTTCTTCTACTGTCTGAAAACAAGCACTAGCGCCTTTCTTCTTCTACTGTCTGGAAACAAGCACTAGCGCCTTTCTTCTTCTACTGTCTGAAAACAAGCACTAGCACCTTTCTTCTTCTACTGTCTGAAAACAAGCACTAGCACCTTTCTTCTTCTACTGTCTGAAAACATGCACTAGCACCTTTCTTCTTCTACTGTCTGAAAACAAGTACCGTCTAGCGCCTTTCTTCTTCTACTGTCTGAAAACAAGCACTAGCGCCTTTCTTCTTCTATTGTCTGAAAACAGGCACTAGCACCTTTCTTCTTCTACTGTCTGAAAACAAGCACTAGCGCCTTTCTTCTTCTACTGTCTGAAAACAAGCACTAGCACCTTTCTTCTTCTACTGTCTGAAAACAAGCACTAGCACCTTTCTTCTTCTACTGTCTGAAAACAAGCACTAGCACCTTTCTTCTTCTACTGTCTGAAAACAAGCACTAGCGCCTTTCTTCTTCTACTGTCTGGAAACAAGCACTAGCACCTTTCTTCTTCTACTGTCTGAAAACAAGCACTAGCACCTTTCTTCTTCTACTGTCTGAAAACAAGCACTAGCACCTTTCTTCTTCTACTGTCTGAAAACAGGCACTAGCACCTTTCTTCTTCTACTGTCTGAAAACAAGTACCGTCTAGCGCCTTTCTTCTTCTACTGTCTGAAAACAAGCACTAGCGCCTTTCTTCTTCTATTGTCTGAAAACAGGCACTAGCACCTTTCTTCTTCTACTGTCTGAAAACAAGCACTAGCACCTTTCTTCTTCTACTGTCTGAAAACAAGCACTAGTACCTTTCTTCTTCTACTGTCTGAAAACAAGCACTAGCACCTTTCTTCTTCTACTGTCTGAAAACAAGCACTAGCACCTTTCTTCTTCTACTGTCTGAAAACAAGTACCGTCTAGCGCCTTTCTTCTTCTACTGTCTGAAAACAAGCACTAGCACCTTTCTTCTTCTACTGTCTGAAAACAAGCACTAGCACCTTTCTTCTTCTACTGTCTGAAAACAAGCACTAGCGCCTTTCTTCTTCTACTGTCTGAAAACAAGCACTAGCACCTTTCTTCTTCTACTGTCTGAAAACAAGTACCGTCTAGCGCCTTTCTTCTTCTACTGTCTGAAAACAAGCACTAGCGCCTTTCTTCTTCTACTGTCTGAAAACAAGCACTAGCACCTTTCTTCTTCTACTGTCTGGAAACAAGCACTAGCGCCTTTCTTCTTCTACTGTCTGAAAACAAGCACTAGCACCTTTCTTCTTCTACTGTCTGAAAACAAGCACTAGCACCTTTCTTCTTCTACTGTCTGAAAACAAGCACTAGCACCTTTCTTCTTCTACTGGGCACTCTTAGCATTTTACTCCAAGGAACCATTCAGCCATTTACTCTCCGACACTGGAGGCTGCATGTCTCTGGAAGCTGAGCACTACCAGCTGAGTGGGGACCATCGGGGACATTAGTGTTAACTGGTAACTATTGTATACCTGGTACTTCTCCCCACATGGTAGATCCTTGACGCTGCCCTTGATGGGTCGGCACGGCACGGTCTCCACGATGTTGGCGATGACGGACACAGCGATGAAGAAGCCGGTGACGTAGTAGAAGACCAGGGCCATGGTGGAGGTGTGGGGGTTCTCGAAGGCCCTCCAGAGGCGCTCTCTCTGGGTGCTGTCCGGGGGCAGCGGGGCGTCGGCTCCCTCCGTGGCCTCCGTGTCCTCGGCCAGACGCTCCTGGTTCTCCTTCTTACGGTCCCGGTATTCCTTCAGGCACACAGGAAAGAAAGTATTGTTTTGATTGTGGTATATTTTTGTGTATATTTAGGGCGACAGTGGCTATAGTTGATTGAGCATTGGCCTTTGAGTCTTGATGTCTGCTGTTGTTGTGTCCTTGGGCAACACACTTAACCTCTGGGAACAGCAGGTGCCACAGTGGGGCGGCTGTAAAGTGCCAAACTGTGGTTGTGTCCTTAGGCAAGACACTTCTCCCACATTAGAATGAGTCTGGTGTGTGTGTGAATGGTTGGTCTCTGGTCTCTCTCTGGTCTCTCTCTGGTCTCTCTCTGGTCTCTCTTTGGTCTCTCTTTTTTCTCTCTCTTTGGTTTCTCTCTCTGGTCTCTCCCTGGTCTCTCTCTGGTCTCTCTCTTTGGCTCTATCTGGTCTCTCTCTGTTCTCTCCCTGGTCTCTCTCTGGTCTCTCTCTGGTCTCTCTCTCTGGTCTCTCCCTGGTCTCTCTCTGGTCTCTCTCTTTGGCTCTATCTGGTCTCTCTCTGGTCTCTCTCTGGTCTCTCTCTGGTCTCTCTCTGGTCTCTCTCTGGTCTCTCTCTGGTCTCTCTCTGGTCTCTCTCTGGTCTCTCTTTGGTCTCTCTTTTTTCTCTCTCTTTGGTTTCTCTCTCTGGTCTCTCCCTGGTCTCTCTCTGGTCTCTCTCTTTGGCTCTATCTGGTCTCTCTCTGTTCTCTCCCTGGTCTCTCTCTGGTCTCTCTCTGGTCTCTCTCTCTGGTCTCTCTCTGATCTCTCTCTGGTCTCTCTCTCTGGTCTCTCTCTGGTCTCTCGCTGATCTCTCTCTGGTCTCTCTCTCTGGTCTCTCTCTGATCTCTCTCTGGTCTCTCTCTGGTCTCTCTCTCTGGTCTCTCTCTCTGGTCTTTCTCTCTGGTCCCTCTCTCTGGTCTCTCTCTCTGGTCTCTCTCTGGTCTCTCTCTGGTCTCTCTCTTTGGCTCTATCTGGTCTCTCTCTGTTCTCTCTCTGGTCTCTCTCTCTGGTCTCTCTCTGATCTCTCTCTGGTCTCTCTCTCTGGTCTCTCTCTGATCTCTCTCTGGTCTCTCTCTGGTCTTTCTCTCTGGTCCCTCTCTCTGGTCTCTCTCTCTGGTCTCTCTCTGGTCTCTCTCTCTGGTCTCTCTCTGGTCTTTCTCTCTGGTCCTCTCTCTGGTCTCTCTCTCTGGTCTCTCTCTCTGGTCTCTCTCTGGTCTCTCTCTGGTCTCTCTCTGGTCTCTCTTTTTTCTCTCTCTTTGGTTTCTCTCTCTGGTCTCTCTCTTTGGCTCTATCTGGTCTCTCTCTGTTCTCTCTCTGGTCTCTCTCTCTGGTCTCTCTCTGATCTCTCTCTGGTCTCTCTCTCTGGTCTCTCTCTGATCTCTCTCTGGTCTCTCTCTGGTCTTTCTCTCTGGTCCCTCTCTCTGGTCTCTCTCTCTGGTCTCTCTCTGGTCTCTCTCTCTGGTCTCTCTCTGGTCTTTCTCTCTGGTCCTCTCTCTGGTCTCTCTCTCTGGTCTCTCTCTGGTCTCTCTCTGGTCTCTCTCTGGTCTCTCTCTGGTCTCTCTTTTTTCTCTCTCTTTGGTTTCTCTCTCTGGTCTCTCTCTTTGGCTCTATCTGGTCTCTCTCTGTTCTCTCTCTGGTCTCTCTCTCTGGTCTCTCTCTGATCTCTCTCTGGTCTCTCTCTCTGGTCTCTCTCTGATCTCTCTCTGGTCTCTCTCTGGTCTTTCTCTCTGGTCCCTCTCTCTGGTCTCTCTCTCTGGTCTCTCTCTGGTCTCTCTCTCTGGTCTCTCTCTGGTCTTTCTCTCTGGTCCTCTCTCTGGTCTCTCTCTCTGGTCTCTCTCTGGTCTCTCTCTGGTCTCTCTCTGGTCTCTCTCTGGTCTCACTTTTTTCTCTCTCTTTGGTTTCTCTCTCTGGTCTCTCTCTCTGGTCTCTCTCTGGTCTCTCTCTCTGGTCTCTCTCTGGTCTCTCTCTGGTCTCTCTCTGGCCTCTCTCTGGCCTCTCTCTGGCCTCTCTCTGGCCTCTCTCTGGTCTCTCTCTGGTCTCTCTCTCTGGTCTCTCTCTGGTCTCTCTCTGGTCTCTCTCTCTGGTCTCTCTCTGGTCTCTCTCTGGTCTCTCTCTCTGGTCTCTCTCTGGTCTCTCTCTGGTCTCTCTCTGGTCTCTCTCTGGTCTCTCTCTGGTCTCTCTCTGGTCTCTCTCTGATCCTTAGTCAAGACACTTCCCCCACAGTAGAATGAGTCTGGTGTGTGTGTGAATGGTTGGTGGTGGTGGGAGGGGCCGATGGCACAGACTGGTTGCCTCGCTTCTGTCAGTGTGCCCCAGGGCAGCTGTGGCTACAGTAGTTTATCACCACCGTGTTTGGAGAGAGAGAAGAATGATGTGAAGAGACTTTGAGGGTCCAAAAAAGTTCTATATGAAACTGATGGATAATTATTATTTATCATTATTATTATTATTATTATGATGATGTTTACCTCCATGCAGCAGTCTCCGATGATCTCTGGTACGATGCCGTAGAAAGCCAGCTCCTCATCGAAGGCCTGGATGCACTCGTGGCGTGGATAGTGAAGTTTTCCTGTTCGATAAAAGTTGAGAATGTGCCGGAACATCTCATTATCCCGGTCAAAAAAGTACTCCTGAGTTTCCTCGTTAAAGAAGAACTCCTTCTCGGATGAGCCCAAAAGAGTGTCAGGATACCGGTCCAGGGTGTTCTTCCACGTCTGAGAACAGAGATGTGGGTTAGATGCTAATTGGTTGGTACTAGCTAGCCCTCTCCAATGTTAATGGTGCTCATGAGTTTCAATGTTTCATTTTTATTCAGCGATGAGATCCTTTGTTTCAATGTCACAGCGCACAGACAGGACAGTAGTAAGACACAGGAAGCACAAAAAATATACTAAATAAGTAGTAGCTGTGTTTCTTAACTGTAAATGCTTCTATATATATATATATATATATATATATACAGTACAGAGCAAAAGTGTGGACACCCTCTCTCCTTCACTGAGTTCTTTTCATGACTATTGCTGTAGACCTGCACCAGGCTGTGTCAGGGCTGTTTGACCAATAAGGAGAGAGATGGTGCTGGGCCACATGAACAAATAAGTTCAGTTGTCAAAGCTTCTTCCAGCTGAGACTGTTGACCAAAGTTAAAGGCCATCTCCCAAATGACCTTGAGAAGGTTGTCCACGCCTCATATCCACACGGCTGGACTATTGTAACTCTTTATACTATGGCCTTACCAGTCCTCAGTCCACAGACTGCAGCTGGTACAGAATGCAGCTGGTACAGACTGCAGCTGGTACAGACTGCAGCTGGTACAGACTGCAGCTGGTACAGAATGCAGCTGGTACAGACTGCAGCTGGTACAGACTGCAGCTGGTACAGACTGCAGCTGGTACAGACTGCAGCTGGTACAGACTGCAGCTGGTACAAACTGCAGCTGGTACGGACTGCAGCTGGTACGGACTGCAGCTGGTACAGACTGCAGCTGGTACAGACTGCAGCTGGTACAGACTGCAGCTGGTACAGACTGCAGCTGGTACAGACTGCAGCTGGTACAAACTGCAGCTGGTACGGACTGCAGCTGGTACGGACTGCAGCTGGTACAGACTGCAGCTGGTACAGACTGCAGCTGGTACAGAATGCAGCTGGTACAGAATGCAGCTGGTACAGAATGCAGCTGGTACAGACTGCAGCTGGTACAGAATGCAGCTGGTACAGACTGCAGCTGGTACAGACTGCAGCTGGTACAGAATGCAGCTGGTACAGACTGCAGCTGGTACAGAATGCAGCTGGTACAGACTGCAGCTGGTACAGACTGCAGCTGGTACAGAATGCAGCTGGTACAGACTGCAGCTGGTACAGACTGCAGCTGGTACAGAATGCAGCTGGTACAGACTGCAGCTGGTACAGACTGCAGCTGGTACAGAATGCAGCTGGTACAGACTGCAGCTGGTACAGACTGCAGCTGGTACAGAGGCTGACTGGCACCAGACGACACGAGCACATCACTCCTGTGCTGTCGTCTCTACATTGGCTTCCTGTTGCTTTTAGAATTAAGTTTAAAATGTTATTGTTAGTATTTAAATCTCTGAGTGACCTGGCTCCGTCTTATCTGACTGACTTGCTTACTTTGCACACTCCGGGAAGAGCACTGAGGTCCTCTGACCAGCTTCTTCTGCACTGTCCCAGGTCTAGATTAAAGACCAGAGGAGACCGAGCCTTTGCTGTGGCAGGGCCCAAACTCTGGAACGCTCTCCCTGACTCCATCAGAGCTGCCTCCTCTGTAGAGAGCTAACCCTCTGTAGAGAGCTAACCCTCTGTGGAGAGCTAACCCTCTGTAGAGAGCTAACCTCTGTGGAGAGCTAACCCTCTGTAGTGAGCTAACCCTCTGTAGAGAGCTAACCCTCTGTGGAGAGCTAACCCTCTGTAGAGAGCTAACCTCTGTGGAGAGCTAACCCTCTGTAGAGAGCTAACCCTCTGTAGAGAGCTAACCCTCTGTGGAGAGCTAACCCTCTGTAGAGAGCTAACCCTCTGTGGAGAGCTAACCCTCTGTGGAAAGCTAACCCTCTGTGGAGAGCTAACCCTCTGTAGAGAGCTAACCCTCTGTGGAGGGTTTTAAATCGCAGCTAAAGACACATTTCTTTGCTTTGGCTTTTTTAACACAAGCAATGTTGAAACATTTATGATAGTGTCCTGCATTTTATTTTTATGCTGTATGTTATTTATGTGTTATATTTTTACAATGTCTGGTGAGCACTTTGTGACAGTCCTGTCTGTTTTTAAAATGTGCTATATAAATAAACTTGACCTTGACCTTGATGACCTCCACAGTCACCGGACCTGAACCCAGTCCAGATGGTTTTGGACCTGAACCCAGTCCAGATGGTTTTGGGACTGGACCCAGTCCAGATGGTTTTGGCACTGGACCCAGTCCAGATGGTTTTGGACCTGAACCCAGTCCAGATGGTTTTGGGGCTGGACCACAGAGTGAAGGGGCCAACAAGTGCTAAGCATCATGGAAACTCAGACCATTTCAGGTCCTGTTGAAGCTCATCCAGAGAATGCCAAGAGTGAAGCAGTATCAGAGCAAAAGGAGCTACTTTGAAGAGCCAGAAAATAACACATATTTTCACTTTATTCATACTTTTTTACTACGTACATAATTCACATGAGTTCATCATAGGTTTGATGCCTTCAGTGTCAATCTACAATTTTCATAATCATGAAAATAAATAGGACAGGACAATAAGTAGATAAAGGCTGAGCAATATTTACATCAGAATATCACTTTGAACACCATCACAAACATGATCACCTGGAATCGCACTCCACTGACGTTAACGTACAAGATCTCGTCAGACTTGGAGGAGTTGTCCACCGGAGGTTTGGGCATGGACTTCTTGGCCAGAGGCAGCCATCCCACCGCGGCCGCCCGGGCAAAGGGGAGCCACGTGGCCACTCCAGCCGCCATCGCTGCTGCTGCTCCGGGCACGGGACTGAACGCAGGCGGCAGGTCCAAGAGCAGGACGGGATTAGGAGCTGGGACTGGACATGTCTGAGAACAGTTCATACATTAGTCTTTATATTGGTGTTAACTCATTGACAGCCATTGACGTTTTTGTCTGAGACTGGTGATTTTTGTCATACTTCCCTCTGTTCGACTGGAGATTACAAAAGAACAAAATGAGCTAGAAACATCTGTATTTTTGCTGATGAAAGTAAACAGTCCAGTCTTTCAGAATCTGGTTTCATTATTCAACTGGTAAAGCACATGATATTCTGTGGGTCGTGAAAATCAGTGAAATTGTGAAAAACAGCAGCAGTGAGTTAATGATAGATGTCTGTGTTTAAAACACCATAGATATTAAAGGAGATGTGTCGTGTGAGCGTAATGCTGTGAAAATACTCAACGAATATGACTCTAGAGCGCCACCTAGGGGAGGCTTCTTACCTAAAGTCGCACAGTCAAATCTTACGAGCAAAATACTACATCACGCAGAGGGTGTATGTCCCACAAGTGACCACTAGGGGCGCAATGGATCCTATTAATGAGCTTTTCTGTGCGCAATTCTGGACTGATCGGGCTGGGAAGTGGCTGCGAGAGGGGCGAGGGCTTTCATTGCCGCTTGCAACTTCAATTTACTCAATTATTCAAAACCACAAAAATATCTTGGATGACAGTAGCTAAATGTGTAGGAAATATTTAATCCAAAAATCCCAACAGCAATTAATGAAGCTGAGTAACCAAAGAGGAAACAACTCTCCTTGTTTTTGAACATTCTTCTCATCAACGAAAAACTCAAAACTCTGCATGACTCCCTCTGCATGACACCCTCATGACACCCTCTGCATGACACCCTCTGTATGACACCCTCATGACACCCTCTGTATGACACCCTCTGCATGACACCCTCTGTATGACACCCTCTGCATGACACCCTCTGTATGACACCCTCTGTATGACACCCTCTCCATGACACCCTCTGCATGACACCCTCTGCATGACACCCTCATGACACCCTCTGCATGACACCCTCTGTATGACACCCTCATGACACCCTCTGTATGACACCCTCTGCATGACACCCTCTGTATGACACCCTCTGCATGACACCCTCTGTATGACACCCTCTGTATGACACCCTCTCCATGACACCCTCTGCATGACACCCTCTGCATGACTCCCTCTGTATGACACCCTCTGCATGACACCCTCTGTATGACACCCTCTGTATGACACCCTCTCCATGACACCCTCTGTGTGACACCCTCTGTATGACACCCTCTCCATGACACCCTCTGTGTGACACCCTCTGTATGACACCCTCTCCATGACACCCTCTGTATGACACCCTCTGCATGACTCCCTCTGCATGACACCCTCTGCATGACACCCTCTGTATGACACCCTCTGTATGACTCCCTCTGCATGACACCCTCTGTATGACACCCTCTGTATGACACCCTCTGAATGACACCCTCTGTATGACACCCTCTGTATGACACCCTCTCCATGACACCCTCTGCATGACACCCTCTGTATGACACCCTCATGACACCCTCTGTATGACACCCTCTGCATGACACCCTCTGTATGACACCCTCTGTATGACACCCTCTGTAGGACACCCTCTGCATGACACCCTCTGCATGACACCCTCTGTATGACACCCTCTGTATGACACCCTCATGAAACCCTCTGTATGACACCCTCTGTATGACACCCTCTGCATGACACCCTCTGTATGACACCCTCTGTATGACACCCTCTGCATGACACCCTCTGCATGACACCCTCTGTATGACACCCTCATGACACCCTCATGACACCCTCTGCATGACACCCTCTGTATGACACCCTCTGCATGACACGCTCTGTATGACACCCTCTGCATGACACCCTCTGTATGACACCCTCTGCATGACACCCTCTGCATGACACCCTCTGCATGACACCCTCTGTATGACACCCTCTCCATGACACCCTCTGTGTGACACCCTCTGCATGACTCCCTCTGTATGACACCCTCTGCATGACACCCTCTGTATGACACCCTCTGCATGACTCCCTCTGTATGACACCCTCTGCATGACACCCTCTGCATGACACCCTCTGTATGACACCCTCTCCATGACACCCTCTGTATGACACCCTCTGCATGACTCCCTCTGCATGACACCCTCTGCATGACACCCTCTGTATGACACCCTCTGTATGACTCCCTCTGCATGACACCCTCTGTATGACACCCTCTGTATGACACCCTCTGAATGACACCCTCTGTATGACACCCTCTGTATGACACCCTCTCCATGACACCCTCTGCATGACACCCTCTGTATGACACCCTCATGACACCCTCTGTATGACACCCTCTGCATGACACCCTCTGTATGACACCCTCGTTGCAGTTTACTTGGTTGAATCCCCTCCGACCAATCAGAGAGCGGGGGAGGCGGGTGTTGTAGGTCAGTGTCGGTGACGTCAAGAGTTTGTGCTGAATTTGCTGGTTGTAGTTTGTCGGAGAATGCGATAGTAAAATAATCTGTTCTGGTTCAATCCAAATATCAAGAAACTGAAGCTACAATAGAAAGATGTTGTGGCTCTACTCCCCACAGGCTCCGTCAGTGGCAAAGGAGATGGCTAAAGCTAGGCTAAATGCTAAATGCCTCACTCACTCAGGCTCATTACATACGTCACAGTAAACTCAGATCCAATGGTTTCAATCTGCAAAAGGAGTTAGCCCCTCCCACCTGTTAACAGAGCCAATGGAGACAATCCAGACCTTAGTATGAAATGAAAAGAGTACCATGGTGCGGTAAGACCAGGCTAGTCCCGTATGCTTCATGCTTGAAAGCTACTTATGGTTTTAAATCATTAGAAAATCAACACATTCAAACTAAAGTCTGACCTGGGACTCGTTGCGGATCTCGTCAGAGTCCGGTCTGGTCTCACTGGGGAAGTAGCGTCGGCACCGGAGGTTTCCCCTTCCACAGCAGTAGTACCAGTCCCCGTCCAACAGAACCGACTGGACCCAGAGAAGACCCACAAAGCTGGCCTCAAGAACCCGTCTGATCAGAAGTGGGACCACCCTGCCCCGGACCAGAACTGTCACGAAGATACAGAGATGGAAGTACGTTCAGACACAACAACATCGGTACAATCCTGGTTGGATCCGGCGCTGGACGGGTCGGGGGGATTTGTGGGTCACTCTGAAGTCTCCTTTCAATGTTGGATAACTGAGCCACTTTTTCACATAAATTAACATTTTTTACGATTAACAAAACCTGGAGTTTGGCCAGAAACACAGAGAGAGCGTCTGTCACCTCCAGTCCCTCTCCTTCAAACCTTCACATCAGACCAGAAAAATGGACCCAGGTTTAAAGGAGCTGTGTGTAAACATGTGGCCAAAAGTGGTACTGCAGCCTCCCCGACTGAGGGTGCCAGATATGCAGATGAATCCAGCGATGTTGGGGGTGATGTTGAGGGTGATGTTGGGGGTGGTGTTGAGGGTGATGTTGGGGGTGATGTTGAGGGTGGTGTTGGGGGTGATTTTTTGGGGTGATGTTGAGGGTGATGTTGGGGGTGATGTTGAGGTTGATGTTGAGGGGTGATGTTGGGGGTGATGTTGAGGCTGATGTTGAGGGTGATGTTGAGGGTGATGTTGGGGGTGATGTTGGGGTGATGTTGAGGCTGATGTTGGGGGTGATGTTGGGGGTGATGTTGAGGGTGAGGTTGGGGGTGACAGGTGATGTTGAGGGTCATGTTAAGGGTTATGTTGAGGGTGCTGTTGGAGGTGACAGGTGATGTTGAGGGTGAGGTTGGGGGTGCTGTTGAGCGTGATGTTGGGGGTGACATGTGATGTTGGGGGTGACATGTGATGTTGGGGGTGATGTTGAGGCTGATGTTGAGGGTGATTTTGGGGGTGATGTTGAGGGTGATGTTGGGGGTGCTGTTGCGCGTGATGTTGGGGGTGAAATGTGATGTTGAGGGTGATGTTGGGGGTGACATGTAATGTTGAGGGTGATGTTGGGGGTGATAGGTGATGTTGAGGGTGATGTTGGGGGTGACAGGTGATGTTGAGGGTGAGGTTGGGGGTGATGTTGAGCGTGATGTTGGGGGTGACATGTGATGTTGAGGGTGAGGTTGGGGGTGACAGGTGATGTTGAGGCTGATGTTGAGGGTGATTTTGGGGGTGATGTTGAGGGTGATGCTGAGGGTGATGTTGGGGGTGATGTTGTGGGTGGTGTTGGGGATGGTTTTTGGGGTGATGTTAAGGGTGATGTTGGGGGTGATGTTGAGGTTGATGTTGAGGGTGATGTTGGGGGTGATGTTGAGGGTGATGTTGGGGGTGATGTTGGGGTGATGTTGAGGCTGATGTTGAGGGTTATGTTGAGGCTGATGTTGAGGGTTATGTTGAGGGTGATGTTGGGGGTGATGTTGGGGGTGATGTTGAGGGTGAGGTTGGGGGTGACAGGTGATGTTGAGGGTGATGTTAAGGGTTATGTTGAGGGTTCTGTTGGAGGTGACAGGTGATGTTGAGGGTGAGGTTGGGGGTGATGTTGGGGGTGATGTTGAGGGTGGTGTTGGGGGTGATTTTTGGGGTGATGTTGAGGGTGATGTTGGGGGTGATGTTGAGGTTGATGTTGAGGGTGATGTTGGGGGTGATGTTGAGGCTGATGTTGAGGGTGATTTTGGGGGTGATGTTGAGGGTGATGTTGGGGGTGACATGTGATGTTGAGGGTGATGTTGGGGGTGACAGGTGATGTTGAGGGTGATGTTAAGGGTTATGTTGAGGGTGATGTTAAGGGTTATGTTGAGGGTGATGTTGGGGGCGACAGGTGATGTTGAGGGTGAGGTTGGGGGTGATGTTGGGGGTGCTGTTGAGCGTGATGTTGGGGGTGACATGTGATGTTGAGGGTGAGGTTGGGGGTGACAGGTGATGTTGAGGCTGATGTTGAGGGTGGTGTTAAGGGTGATTTTGGGGGTGATGTTGAGGGTGATGCTGAGGGTGATGTTGAGGGTGAGGTTGGGGGTGATGTTGGGGGTGATGTTGGAGGTAGATGTTGAGGGCGATGTTAAGGGTTATGTTGAGGGTGATGTTGGAGGTGACAGGTGATGTTGAGGGTGAGGTTGGGGGTGATGTTGAGGGTGATGTTGGGGGTGCTGTTGAGCGTGATGTTGGGGGTGACGGGCGATGCTGGGGGACGAATAATTTTGGGAGTGAAAATGTTAAAATGTCTTCGCAACCAGCAAAACAAGGGACAATATATATGTATATACGTAGATAGATAGATACAGTATATAGATAGATACATGATGTGTGTATGTAATATAAATAAACATTTATCATTCAAATAAATATATATGAAATAAAAACTAACATTGATGTGATTCGTGTTAGCGCTGTGATCAAAACCAGAGACAGACCTTTTGACAGACTTACCTCTGGTTCCTCCACACACAAACTTCAGGCCACGGCCAAAGACCAGGTCCACCCAGAGCTGCAGCACAGTCAGGATCAGAGCCGGAACCACGAGGTAGACCCGGCAGTCCTTGGTCTGGGACTCACACGAACAGCGCATGTCTTTGTCCAATCGGACGTGGTAATAGTACAGACAGAACAGAGTGACCAGACCGAACCAGCGACGGAACCATAGCTGGACCAGCCACGACACAGACCGCTGCAGGTACGACATCCTGGACTATGTGAGCCAACGACGTGGGACTATGTGAGCCAACGACGTGGGACTATGTGAGCCAATGGAAATAGGCCTGCACTGGAAAAAAATTCCTTGAAAATATATATTTTTAAAAATACGTTTAAAAAAAAAACTTCTTTAAATAATAAAAAAATATCTGAAAATAGGACTCTAGTTTAAAAACATACATTTTAAGTATTATTTACTTATTTCTTTCATTTTTTTATGTTTTCTTAAAATACAGTATCACAAACTTATTTTATCTAAAAGTCTGGAAATGAGAAAAAATACTTAAAACAATCTTAAAAACTCACTGCTCAGACTTTTTTCTCTGATAATATTATGAAGTATCTTAAAACTAGTAAAAGAATCTTATGACAAACTACATTCAAGCAACACAAACTTAAAAATAATCATCATTTAGTTATTCTTAGTAAATAAATCTTACCCAGACTCTACCTTCTTCAGTCTGAGCAGACGGAGAGAGAGATGGAAACAAAGAAGGAACAGGAAGAAAAGATAAAACCACAAAAGCTTCTGTCGTTTCATCATCAACAAAACTACAGTGAAGACAAAGACAAAAGATCCTGGAAAGATTTACAGTATTTACAAAAAATACATGATTATGCTTATTTTTAAGTTTTTGTTTCTTTAATGTAGTTTGTCATAAGATTATTTTACTAGTTTAAAAAGTCTGAGCAGTGAGTTTTTAAGTGTTTTAAGTTTTTTTTCTTATTTCCAGACTTTTCTTGTTTAGATAAAATAAGTTTGGGAAAACATCAAAAATGTTTAAGAAATAAGTAAATAATACTTAAAATGTATGTTTTAAAAGAATCAAGTCGTTTGAGGCTAGAATTATTTTCAGAAATCTTAAGTCATATTTTCTTGTTCCATTTACAGATAATTTTTATTATTTTAAGCAGCATTTTACTTTTTTTCATATATTTTTAAAGGTATTTTTTCCCAGGGCATGTGCCTTTTATCATGGGAAAACAACCACATAATATGTTTTAAATAATAGACTTAATAATAATAGCACTTTTCAGGACGCTCAAAGTCTCTTCACATCATTCTTCTCTCTCTCTCCAAACACGGTGGTGATAAACTACTACTGTAGCCACAGCTGCCCTGGGGCACACTGACAGAAGCGAGGCAACCAGTCTGTGCCATCAGCCCCTCCCACCACCACCAACCATTCACACACACACCACACTCATTCTAATGTGGGGGAAGTGTCTTGCCTAAGGACACAACCACAGTTTGGCACTTTACAGCCGCAGCCGCCCCACTGTGGCACCTACTGTTCCCAGAGGTCTCCCATCACAGCACTAACCAGGCCCTGTCCTGCTTAGTGAATCTATCATGTATCAATTTTTGCAGTGTATTTTAAAAGTTTTTGCAAATTATCATGTCTGATTCATCTGGGATTTACAAACATGTGTAACATGAGCAGAATTCCTAACTAAAAAAACTAGTACAAGACAGAGGCACAATGCATTCTGGGTCCTGTAGTTTTTATTGTGGAATGGAATATACACTCTGTGCTTTGACAGTGTCTCATTCATGTATTCATCAGTTCATGGGACTCCACTCGTTCGTCTGCAACACATCATTTATAAACTCTTTCTACAAATAAAACATATGATCACAACAGACAAACAGTGTTTAAAGCAGCAGTCTGTAAACATGTGGCCAAAAGTGGTACTGCAGCCTCTCCCACTCTCCCTGACTCAGGTTGCCAGATATGCAGATGAATCCAGCTGGGACCACATCAGGCATAATGATAACAGATTAGGGCCCTTTAACGATGACAGATTAGGGCCCTTTAATGATGATGGATTAGGGCCCTTTAATGATGACAGATTAGAGCCCTTTAATGATGACAGATTAGGGCCCTTTAATGATGACAGATTATGGCCCTTTAATGACGACAGATTAGGGCCCTTTAATGACGACATATTAGGGCCCTTTAATAACGACAGATTAGGGCCCTTTAATGACGACATATTAGGGCCCTTTAATAACGACAGATTAGGGCCCTTTAATGATGACAGATTAGAGCCCTTTAATGATGACAGGCTAGGGCCCTTTAATTATGACAGATTAGGGCCCTTTAATGACGACAGATTAGGGCCCTTTAATGATGACAGATTATGGCCCTTTAATGATGACAGGCTAGGGCCCTTTAATGATGACAGGCTAGGGCCCTTTAATGATGACAGATTAGGGCCTTTAATTATGACAGATTAGGGCCCTTTAATGATGATGTGACATGTACATTTTACATATTGCTGCTTTAAAACATTGACCATAAAAACATGAACTGATTTGGGATTATACAGAACAAGACTCGGATGAAAAAAAAAATCAACTCCCGACAATAATTTAGGAGTAGAAGCTAGGAAATAAAAATAATCTCCTTTTTGCGCTCCAGTTAGCTGCAAAAAGATGCTAGTTTTTATCATAATTTAACAAACGTATAAAATAATTTTAGATATTTTTTATAAGACAAAAACATACAAATAATTTAACAAGTTTAAGTTTCCAGCACAAAATAAACATAAAAAAAGAGAGTGGAGTCTTCAAATACCTACAACGGTATCATACATGCAGCTAGAAACCCACAAGACCAAAACCAGAACTAAGCCAGGTCTAAACCGGGTCTAGACCAGGACTATGCCAGGTCTGGGGTCTCATGTGTCCTCTTCTTGTGTGTGTGCAGGCGGATCAGGAGGAACTGAAGCCCATGCAAGAGCAGAACTCTGTGTGACAGGACCAGGACTGGACCGGGACTGGACCGGGACTGCACCAGGACTCAGACCAGTCTCACTGAATCAGCGTCAATGTTGAGAAAGAATGAGGTAATAAGTAATTTTCTTTAAATATGGTAAAGCCTTTTTTTATCACATCTTTGGGCCCAGACATTTTATGAATCTGCAAATAACTATAAATTTACCGTTTATTTTTGCTGTTTTTACCTTAATAATTTTAATAATTTCACGTTTATATTTTACGAATGTGCTTTACTCTAGCTTCTACTTCTCGGCTTTTCACTTGATTTCACCGAGAACCTATTTCATAATCAGTCACTTCCTGTTTCTTACAATGCAATCCCGGAATTTCTGATCTACATTGGTTGGAGAGACCGACAATACAGTGCAATGTTATGTTATTTTAATTTTAAGTGGTAAAAAAGAGATTTATAGATACTTTTATACATATTGTTCATATTCTATAGATATTTATGGTCTGAAATATTTAAGATTTTTGTGTTAGTGTCATAAAGTAATCCAGTAAAATGTCAACATAGTTAGGGACGCACTGGTACTGGTACTGGTACTGGTATTGGGTCGATACCATAGGATTGTTCTTGTACTCGTACCATAAGACCCGATCTGGTTAACCAATACCCACGGTTTTAATTCACATTAGCGTCACGACATCAGACAGCTATGCAGCACCTGTTGCCATGGCGATCTCCTAAAGTCTGCAGCGAGAAAGCGTTTGCTGCTAGCTTAGCGGCAAACTGATGTCAGGGTTAGTTTTTTTAAAGTAAAACCAGTGACAAGAGTAAAGCAGACTATATGTTGTGTAAAACTGTCACCAGGTGGATCCCAAACCGACACCAGTAACTTGAAAAACATCTGAACACCACCGGACGGAGTATAGCACCTTTGCTAACAGCGCAGCTAGCACCAGCGCTCTGTCTATGTAGCATTGGTCTGAGTGTTCAAACAATCGCTAAAATGTTTAAGTGTTAAAGCATTTTTTATTGTTGAAATGAGAAATAAAACATTTTAAACTTCAGTTGTATTAGGTTGATGAATTTCCAGAGATGTACTCGTATCGGTAAGTACTCAGATTAAAGTACTCTAAACAGTTTATAAAATACAGACAGCACATGCTTGTTTCTGATTGGTTCCCGCCTTAATTGGTCCAAGAGGGAATTGACGCAGCCAAAAATAAACGTAAAATAATCATGGATGGAACTAAAAATTGGAGTTCTGGTCTAGACCCTGGCCTGAGTCCTGGTCTGAGTCCTGGCCTGAGTCCTGGCCTGAGTCCTGGTCTGAGTCCTGGTCTGAGTCCTGGTCTGAGTCCTTGCTCCGGTCTATGGCAGTAGTGCTACTTCTACTGTCTCTATGAGGCTCATGCAGGACGTCCCGACTCAGCGGCTCCTATTTTCTTTATTTGGAGGATTCAATGGAAGATGCAGGTGATGTTTATGATACAAAATATGTTACAATATGTACGATTTATCCTCTGATAATGTCACACACGGAAGAAACGCTGGGGAGAGCGCGGTTTTAACACTTTAAAGTCCATATGAGAGGCTACACAGTTCAAGAACATACTGTATATATTTAAGATTAGACTAAAAATCTTTCCCACTATTTTTCTTTGAATTTGGATTATGCTTTAGAACTCTTTACTCTGTATATTTTTTAATAATTTATCACAGAACTCTTTAAAATCTTGGTATTTCGTTCCAAAGCTATCCCACCTCAAGCTAAACCCCTCCCTGACCTACAGACCGTTTACTGAACCAACCAGGGACTAGCTAGCGTCACGCACTGTTAGCTAAACGCAATTTCAACACATGCTAGCTGCTGGACTACATTCCCTTATATGGGCATTTCTCCTGTGGTGTTAGCTTTGCGCCATAATAAAGGCAGGTGCGTTGCTAAGACGGTTGCTATGTCGGAACAAAAACACTGAGTCCATACACAGCGCTAAAGCACAGATTGTAAAATGCTACAAGAGTGAGCGTGACTGAGCTTTTCAACGTAAATCAAGAGGAGCCAGAGAAAGGAACAAAACTTTGACCACGAGCACTTCCCTATTCGACTTCATTGAGCTAGCAAGTTAGCAACTGCTCTCCGTATACAACCTATGCTCTAACCATAATATTTACTTTATTTTTTTATATACATTCTTTTTAATAATTCAAATTCAGAGAAAGAACTGACAATATTTCTCTTCGGTTTGGGACGAAATACCAAGATTATAACAAGTCCCTTCTCATCGCAAGACTGAACCAAACACTTAAAAAACAACTGTAAAAAAACTGTCACATGGAATTTAAAGTTTTAAAGATACTCTGTGTAATTTTCACAGTTGCTCCAGATTAAAAAAACATGTTAAACCAAAACAAATGTGACCTTTTGAAGAATATTTACCTCCACAATGTTTTTGAATCTGACTTATAAATGTCCGTGAGGCTGGAGGACTGTCTGTGTTAATCCGCCATCTTGGAATACAGAGGCTGATAAGGGACAAAAAGGAGTTTGGGCGGGAGTTTGGGACTATTGTCAAAGACCACACATTGTCCTGTGAAGCCACCGTAGTACCGTAAGTGACAATATATGATCTCAACACTAGATGGGAGTAAAAACTAGACTGTGTACCTTTAAATGTTATTAATTTAGCGCATTTTTTTGTTTTTTTTTCCCCCAGCGTTTCCACCCTGAATATTGCAGAAATGTGTCCACGCACCACACAGTTCACATTAAGACAGATTATTATTATTCATTTTATATTATTTGATATTTCTCATATACTTTACCGTGTTTTTGTTAATGCGGTTTTCCAGCTTGAGTTGTAAAGTTGCATATTTTTGAAAAGGCTTTTGAGAGAATCCAGGCTCAGCAGAATATTCACGGTGACGAGATTCATGCGTCTTTCTCTACGGTCGAGTTTAGCTTTTCTTCACTGATGCAAGTTCTCAACAGGAAATATGTCCACTTTTCCGTCAAAGTAAAATCCAAAATGTACAGTGTCCCTTCTGTGTTCAGAAGAGTTTGCAGCAAAAGGCAAAAAAAATAATCGAACGAGCATTTCTTGGCTGCCATTTTTTTGGCTGCCATTTTTTTGGTCCAGATATGATAACCCCAATATCCTTCCATTTCGACACCATCCAAGGCCCAAGAAGAAAAATGTTCAAAGTATTTTAACCTACTGTGGCATTTCAGGGTCCTTCCTTACAATACTTCCCCAAAACACGGTATTTGGAAAGTCGAAAGGCAGTTGCGATCCGGAAAACCGTTTCTATGGCAGCCATTTTGAATCCTTTCACAGTTCCCCAAAATGCTTTTCCAACTCAGTCCAAAGTTCATGAATATTACTTCACTTTTTGCATTCATAATCCAGTCAGTGTTTCGTTTTGTCAATTCAATCCTTCTTTTATCTTTCTTTCCGAGTTTGTGCAAGATTTAGACATTGTGCATAAGTGTCAGAACAACTGGCCACGGCTTAAAGAGGTCCAAGCTTATTATACGTCATTATTTTCATATTTGATACCCTGATTTAATGCCACACAAAAAAGATGGAGGTTTCAAAGGGACAGCACTGCTAATCGGTTTATGGCTTGGGAAAATACTAACCTGGTCTTACCACTCCATGGTACTCATTTCATTTGGTACTAAGGTCTGGATTTGCTCTAGCCTGGTCTTATCCATCCGTACTCTCAGGTCAGTCATCATCTCCTGCATGTAGCGTCTGGGTCTGGTCCCTGTGTTTGTGATTACAATCGTTGAATTTCGACCGACCAATCAGAGAGCGCGGGAGGCGGGTGTTGTAGTTAGTTGTGGGTGACGTCAAGAGTTTGCGTCGAACGGGAAGGTCGTAGTTTGGCAAAGAATGCGATAGTAAAATATTACGGTCTGGTTCTATCAAGAAACTGAAGCCAGAGAGAGAGGAATGTTTAGCAAATGTCATTGAAGCAAAGATGTTGTGGCTCTACTCCCCACGGGCTCCGTTAGCGGCAAAGGAGATGGCTAAAGCTAGGCTACATGCTAACTACTCACTTGGGCTCATTACATACGTCACAGTAAACTCAGATCCAATCGTTTCAATCTGCAAAAGGAGTTAGCCCCTCCCACCTGTTAACGGAGTCAATGGAGCAAATCCAGACCTTAGTACAAATGAAATTTGTACTATGGTGCGGTAAGACCAGGCTAGAATTTGCTCTATTGACTCCGTTAATAGGTGGGAGGGGCTAACTCCTTTTGCAGATTGAAACGATTGGATCTGAGTTTACTGTGACGTATGTAATGAGCCCAAGTGAGTAGTTAGCATGTAGCCTAGCTTTAGCATGTAGCCTAGCTTTAGCCATCTCCTTTGCCGCTAACGGAGCCCGTGGGGAGTAGCGCCACAACATCTTTGCTTCAATAACATTTACTAAACATTCCTCTTGCTCCGGCTTCAGTTTCTTGATATTTGGATTGAACCAGAACAGATTATTTTATGGTATATGGTAAGACCAGACGTACATGTAGGAAATGATCATGGACCAGAGTTTACACATGGTAAGACCAGACGTACATGTAGGAAATGATCATGGACCAGAGTTTACACATGGTAAGACCAGATTAGGAAAATACAGGCACTGGCTCCAGTCGGCGGAACACACCACTGATCATCGTCGCACTTTTAGAAAAACTCCTGTGCAGTTTGCGTTTGTGGAAGCCATTTTCTTTTCAAAGTCCCCCCAAACCTCTAAAATCGTTTTCAGAGCCATATCATGCTTTTGTGGTGCAAGGAAGACCCTAATCCTAACTTTCCTTATCGTGATAATTTTAAACCATTTCTCAATTTAGCCCAAAACTTTAGTCTGAAGCAAAATGACAACTGTATGAAAATAAATTCTCATCTGGACTCAAACTATAACTCTATTAAATACTGTATATCATCTAAACATAAATAAATAATTTAATTTTAAACTACCCGAAGAAAAGCCTCTCTGGTAAATTCATGGTAGATCCTCCGTCACTCTGTTTTTGGCTTCTTTGTAATTATTATTTTTTTTATTATTTATTAGCGTGTCAAAGTAATTAATCTCTCACTATTTCACCCATTTCTGTCTTTGCTGCTGAATATTGGCAATCCAACTCATGTGCCACACTATTTTTCCTGAGGCCTCCACGCAGACCTCTGTGTTTTCCCGCTTCTTTTCAGTTTTCCCGCTTCTTTTCAGTTTTCCCGCTTCTTTTCAGTTTTTCCCGCTTCCTGCCTGTGTTTTGTGCGTCTAAAGGCCAGTTTTGGGGGTGCATTATAAAGAGGAGATCTTGAAGGTGTCGTTGATGCATGCGGTGGCTCGTGTGTTTCGGAGAATCCCGATAATGGGAGCGGGAGAAGGGGGCAGGCTGTCGTCGGGGGAGTTAGCCGGAGGAGTGGGGATGCTAATGATGGCCGCCGTGAAGTCCGGCTCTCCACAGTTCAACTTGAGCTCCGTGGGCTGAGCGTTCAGACTGGAGCGACTGAGACAGAGACAGAGAGAGAGAGAGAGAGAGAGAGACAGAGACAGAGAGAGAGAGAGAGAGTTAAGTCACACAAAAACAAATACATAGTTCAGCAATAGAATAATAATAATAAGAATAATTGAGGAAGAAGGTGAGGAAGAAGAAGAAGAAGGAGAAGGTGAAGGAGAAGAAGTAGGCGAAGAAGAAGGAGGCGGCAAAGAAGGCGAAGAAGAAAGAGATGAAGAATTTGATGAAGAAGGAGAAGAATAGGGAGAAGGTGAAGAAGAAGGCAAAGAAGGCGAAGAAGAAGAAGGTGATGGCGAAGGAGAAGAAGAAGGTGAAGAAAAAGGAGAAAGAGAAGAAGAAGGTGAAGAAAAAGGAGAAGAAGATGAAGAAAAAGAAGGCAAAGAAGATGATGAAGGAGAAGGCAAAAAATAAGGAGGAGAAGAAGAAGGTGAAGAAGGAGATGAAAAAGGTGATGAAGAAGAAGAAAGCTGAGGAGAAGAAGAAGGAGGTGAAGAAGAACTTGCGGTGATCCCATCATGTCACATACAGGTCAATACCTTCTTAACTAAAAAAGATAATATACTGACTTCAAACTATACATATTTCCTAGAACAACGTATTTTTGTTTACTTTTTTTATTTTATTATCATTATTATTCTATTTAAGGTTAAGTGTATGAATTAATTATGTCACATGTTAAGGTAGTATGTTGATAATGTATTGATTAACTTTAGCTGATCATTTGGTTCATTCTGTTGTTTTTAATGTTAGTTCTAACCTCCCAGATTTTAGCCACTTTTTCTTATTTTGAAAAGGGATTTAACACCTGCAGGAATATCTTTGTTTTAACTTGACTATGTCCATAAATTATAATATTTTAGATTGTACATATAGTGCATTAGTAAAGTCACGGTAAATCACTTTATTTGTTAAACATACTTATTATAGGATCTGTGTGTGTTTTACATGTGGTTCAAGTACAAGAGAACATGTAACGTCGGCTGTTTAAGTTTTCATTGGATAATTCTCTTTCCTGGTACACCCCCACAGATCCGCACACACCGGTTTACTTGAATGTTTCCTAACCAAAGTAGAATACACGTCTGTACTCTTTTTCCCACAGCTCATTACTGATAATTTTAGAAAATGCATCAGTACTGCCCCCTGCTGGCTGACTCCATCTTACGTATGTGTTGTGATGGGTACTGTACAGGCTGACTCCATCTTACGTCTGTGTTGTGATGGGTACTAGCTGACTCCATCTTAAGTCTGTGTTGTGATGGGTACTGTACAGGCTGACTCCATCTTACGTCTGTGTTGTGATGGGTACTGTACAGGCTGACTCCATCTTACGTCTGTGTTGTGATGGGTACTAGCTGACTCCATCTTAAGTCTGTGTTGTGATGGGTACTGTACAGGCTGACTCCATCTTACGTCTGTGTTGTGATGGGTACTGTACAGGCTGACTCCATCTTACGTCTGTGTTGTGATGGGTACTGTACAGGCTGACTCCATCTTACGTCTGTGTTGTGATGGGTACTGTACAGGCTGACTCCATCTTACGTCTGTGTTGTGATGGGTACTGTACAGGCTGACTCCATCTTACGTCTGTGTTGTGATGGGTACTGTACTGGCTGACTCCATCTTACGTCTGTGTTGTGATGGGTACTGTACTGGCTGACTCCATCTTACGTCTGTGTTGTGATGGGTACTGTACAGGCTGACTCCATCTTACGTCTGTGTTGTGATGGGTACTGTACAGGCTGACTCCATCTTACGTCTGTGTTGTGATGGGTACTGTACAGGCTGACTCCATCTTACGTCTGTGTTGTGATGGGTACTAGCTGACTCCATCTTACGTCTGTGTTGTGATGGGTACTGTACTGGCTGACTCCATCTTACGTCTGTGTTGTGATGGGTACCGTACAGGCTGACTCCATCTTACGTCTGTGTTGTGATGGGTACCGTACAGGCTGACTCCATCTTACGTCTGTGTTGTGATGGGTACCGTACAGGCTGACTCCATTCTTACGTCTGTGTTGTGATGGGTACTGTACAGGCTGACTCCATCTTACGTCTGTGTTGTGATGGGTACTGTACAGGCTGACTCCATCTTACGTCTGTGTTGTGATGGGTACTGTACAGGCTGACTCCATCTTACGTCTGTGTTGTGATGGGTACTGTACACGGCTACAGGCTGACTCCATCTTACGTCTGTGTTGTGATGGGTACTGTACAGGCTGACTCCATCTTACGTCTGTGTTGTGATGGGTACCGTACAGGCTGACTCCATCTTACGTCTGTGTTGTGATGGGTACGTACGGCTGACTCCATCTTACGTCTGTGTTGTGATGGGTACCGTACAGGCTGACTCCATCTTACGTCTGTGTTGTGATGGTACTGTACAGGCTGACTCCATCTTACGTCTGTGTTGTGATGGGTACTGTACAGGCTGACTCCATCTTACGTCTGTGTTGTGATGGGTACTGTACAGGCTGACTCCATCTTACGTCTGTGTTGTGATGGGTACTGTACGTGACTGTGTACTGACTCCATCTTACGTCTGTGTTGTGATGGGTACTGTACTGCTGACTCCATCTTACGTCTGTGTTGTGATGGGTACTGTACAGGCTGACTCCATCTTACGTCTGTGTTGTGATGGTACTGTACGGCTGACTCATCTTACGTGTTGTGATGGGTACTGATCCATCAGTCTGACTACCGTGACTCTCTTACGTCTGTGTTGTGATGGGTACTGTACAGGCTGACTCCATCTTACGTCTGTGTTGTGATGGGTACAGCTGACTCCATCTTACGTCTGTGTTGTGATGGGTACTGTACAGGCTGACTCCATCTTACGTCTGTGTTGTGATGGGTACTGTACAGGCTGACTCCATCTTACGTCTGTGTTGTGATGGGTACTGTACGCTGATCTACATGGACTTAGGCTGACTCCATCTTACGTCTGTGTTGTGATGGGTACTGTACAGGCTGACTCCATCTTACGTCTGTGTTGTGATGGGTACCGTACAGGCTGACTCCATCTTACGTCTGTGTTGTGATGGGTACCGTACTGGCTGACTCCATCTTACGTCTGTGTTGTGATGGGTACTGTACAGGCTGACTCCATCTTACGTCTGTGTTGTGATGGGTACTGTACTGGCTGACTCCATCTTACGTCTGTGTTGTGATGGTGGTGGTCTTTGAGTGCAGAGTGTCCAGCTCCTGGATGCTGCCTCGGCTCACAGACACCGTTGAGTTGGCCAGTCTCATGGCTGCTCTTCTTCGAGCCCTCCGCGGACAGCAGCAAGAGGAGTTGTTGTGCGCCCCCTGCTGGCTGGACAGAGAAGTGCTGCGGCTCGTCCTGAAGGCGGACTCCGTCACACACAGCTCACTGTACGTTATCTCATCTGTGAACTCGTGATTCTGTGGAAAAGAGCAAAGGATGTAAACATACTGCTGCTAATGTACACATGCTAACATACTGCTGCTAATGTACAGATGCTAACATACTGCTGCTAATGTACAGATGCTAACATACTGCTGCTAATGTACAGATGCTAACATACTGCTGCTAATGTACAGATGCTAACATACTGCTGCTAATGTACACATGCTAACATACTGCTGCTAATGTACAGATGCTAACATACTGCTGCTAATGTACACATGCTAACATACTGCTGCTAATGTACAGATGCTAACATACTGCTGCTAATGTACAGATGCTAACATACTGCTGCTAATGTACACATGCTAACATACTGCTGCTAATGTACAGATGCTAACATACTGCTGCTAACATGTACAGATGCTAACATACTGCTGCTAATGTACAGATGCTAACATACTGCTGCTAATGTACACATGCTAACATACTGCTGCTAATGTACAGATGCTAATAACATACTGCTGCTAACATGTACAGATGCTAACATACTGCTGCTAATGTACAGATGCTAACATACTGCTGCTAACATGTACAGATGCTAACATACTGCTGCTAATGTACAGATGCTAACATACTGCTGCTAACATGTACAGATGCTAACATACTGCTGCTAATGTACACATGCTAACATACTGCTGCTAACATGTACAGATGCTAACATGTACAGATGCTAACATACTGCTGCTAACATGTACAGATGCTAACATACTGCTGCTAATGTACAGATGCTAACATACTGCTGCTAACATGTACAGATGCTAACATACTGCTGCTAATGTACAGATGCTAACATACTGCTGCTAACATGTACAGATGCTAACATACTGCTGCTGCTAATGCAGATGCTAACATACTGCTGCTAACATGTACAGATGCTAACATACTGCTGCTAACATGCACAGATGCTAACATACTGCTGCTAACATGCACAGATGCTAACATACTGCTGCTAACATGTACAGATGCTAACATACTGCTGCTAACATGTACAGATGCTAACATACTGCTGCTAACATGTACAGATGCTAACATACTGCTGCTAACATGTACAGATGCTAACATACTGCTGCTAACATGTACAGATGCTAACATACTGCTGCTAACATGTGCAGATGCTAACATACTGCTGCTAACATGTACAGATGCTAACATACTGCTGCTAACATGTACAGATGCTAACATACTGCTGCTAACATGCACAGATGCTAACATACTGCTGCTAACATGTACAGATGCTAACATGTATAGATGCTAACATGTACAGATGCTAACATGTACAGATGCTAACATACTGCTGCTAACATGTACAGATGCTAACATACTGCTGCTAACATGTACAGATGCTAACATACTGCTGCTAATGTACATGCTACAGATGCTAACATGTACAGATGCTAACATACTGCTGCTAACATGTACAGATGCTAACATACTGCTGCTAACATGTACAGATGCTAACATGTACAGATGCTAACATGTACATGCTAACATACTGCTGCTAACATGTACAGATGCTAACATGTACAGATGCTAACATACTGCTGCTAACATGTACAGATGCTAACATACTGCTGCTAACATGTACAGATGCTAACATACTGCTGCTAACATGTACAGATGCTAACATACTGCTGCTAATGTACAGATGCTAACATACTGCTGCTAACATGTACAGATGCTAACATACTGCTGCTAACATGTACAGATGCTAACATACTGCTGCTAACATGTACAGATGCTAACATGTACAGATGCTAACATACTGCTGCTAACATGTACAGATGCTAACATACTGCTGCTAACATGTACAGATGCTAACATGTACAGATGCTAACATACTGCTGCTAACATGTACAGATGCTAACATGTACAGATGCTAACATGTACAGATGCTAACATGTACAGATGCTAACATACTGCTGCTAACATGTACAGATGCTAACATGTACAGATGCTAACATGTACAGATGCTAACATGTACAGATGCTAACATACTGCTGCTAACATGTACAGATGCTAACATACTGCTGCTAACATGTACAGATGCTAACATACTGCTGCTAACATGTACAGATGCTAACATGTACAGATGCTAACATGACTGCTGCTAACATGTACAGATGCTAACATGTACAGATGCTAACATACTGCTGCTAACATGTACAGATGCTAACATGTACAGATGCTAACATGTACAGATGCTAACATACTGCTGCTAACATGTACAGATGCTAACATACTGCTGCTAACATGTACAGATGCTAACATACTGCTGCTAACATGTACAGATGCTAACATGTACAGATGCTAACATACTGCTGCTAACATGTACAGATGCTAACATACTGCTGCTAACATGTACAGATGCTAACATACTGCTGCTAACATGTACATATGCTAACATACTGCTGCTAACATGTACAGATGCTAACATACTGCTGCTAACATGTACAGATGCTAACATACTGCTGCTAACATGTACAGATGCTAACATACTGCTGCTAACATGTACAGATGCTAACATGTAACAGAGATGCTAACATACTGCTGCTAATGTACAGATGCTAACATACTGCTGCTAACATGTACAGATGCTAACATACTGCTGCTAACATGTACAGATGCTAACATGTACAGATGCTAACATGTACAGATGCTAACATACTGCTGCTAACATGTACAGATGCTAACATGTACAGATGCTAACATGTACAGATGCTAACATACTGCTGCTAACATGTACAGATGCTAACATACTGCTGCTAACATGTACAGATGCTAACATACTGCTGCTAACATGTACAGATGCTAACATACTGCTGCTAACATGTACAGATGCTAACATACTGCTGCTAACATGTACAGATGCTAACATGTACAGATGCTAACATGTACAGATGCTAACATACTGCTGCTAATGTACAGATGCTAACATACTGCTGCTAATGTACAGATGCTAACATACTGCTGCTAACATGTACAGATGCTAACATACTGCTGCTAATGTACACATGCTAACATACTGCTGCTAATGTACAGATGCTAACATACTGCTGCTAACATGTACAGATGCTAACATACTGCTGCTAATGTACAGATGCTAACATACTGCTGCTAATGTACAGATGCTAACATACTGCTGCTAACATGTACAGATGCTAACATACTGCTGCTAACATGTACAGATGCTAACATACTGCTGCTAACATGCACAGATGCTAACATACTGCTGCTAACATGTACAGATGCTAACATACTGCTGCTAACATGTACAGATGCTAACATACTGCTGCTAACATGTACAGATGCTAACATACTGCTGCTAACATGTACAGATGCTAACATACTGCTGCTAACATGTACAGATGCTAACATACTGCTGCTAACATGTACAGATGCTAACATACTGCTGCTAACATGTACAGATGCTAACATACTGCTGCTAACATGTACAGATGCTAACATACTGCTGCTAACATGTACAGATGCTAACATACTGCTGCTAACATGTACAGATGCTAACATACTGCTGCTAACATGCACAGATGCTAACATACTGCTGCTAACATGTACAGATGCTAACATGTATAGATGCTAACATGTACAGATGCTAACATGTACAGATGCTAACATACTGCTGCTAACATGTACAGATGCTAACATGTACAGATGCTAACATACTGCTGCTAACATGTACAGATGCTAACATGTACAGATGCTAACATGTACAGATGCTAACATGTACAGATGCTAACATACTGCTGCTAACATGTACAGATGCTAACATACTGCTGCTAACATGTACAGATGCTAACATACTGCTGCTAACATGTACAGATGCTAACATGTACAGATGCTAACATGTACAGATGCTAACATACTGCTGCTAACATGTACAGATGCTAACATGTACAGATGCTAACATACTGCTGCTAACATGTACAGATGCTAACATACTGCTGCTAACATGTACAGATGCTAACATACTGCTGCTAACATGTACAGATGCTAACATACTGCTGCTAATGTACAGATGCTAACATACTGCTGCTAACATGTACAGATGCTAACATACTGCTGCTAACATGTACAGATGCTAACATACTGCTGCTAACATGTACAGATGCTAACATGTACAGATGCTAACATACTGCTGCTAACATGTACAGATGCTAACATACTGCTGCTAACATGTACAGATGCTAACATGTACAGATGCTAACATACTGCTGCTAACATGTACAGATGCTAACATGTACAGATGCTAACATACTGCTGCTAACATGTACAGATGCTAACATGTACAGATGCTAACATGTACAGATGCTAACATACTGCTGCTAACATGTACAGATGCTAACATACTGCTGCTAACATGTACAGATGCTAACATACTGCTGCTAACATGTACAGATGCTAACATGTACAGATGCTAACATACTGCTGCTAACATGTACAGATGCTAACATACTGCTGCTAACATGTACAGATGCTAACATACTGCTGCTAACATGTACAGATGCTAACATACTGCTGCTAACATGTACAGATGCTAACATGTACAGATGCTAACATACTGCTGCTAATGTACAGATGCTAACATACTGCTGCTAACATGTACAGATGCTAACATACTGCTGCTAACATGTACAGATGCTAACATGTACAGATGCTAACATGTACAGATGCTAACATACTGCTGCTAACATGTACAGATGCTAACATGTACAGATGCTAACATGTACAGATGCTAACATACTGCTGCTAACATGTACAGATGCTAACATACTGCTGCTAACATGTACAGATGCTAACATACTGCTGCTAACATGTACAGATGCTAACATACTGCTGCTAACATGTACAGATGCTAACATACTGCTGCTAACATGTACAGATGCTAACATGTACAGATGCTAACATGTACAGATGCTAACATACTGCTGCTAATGTACAGATGCTAACATACTGCTGCTAATGTACAGATGCTAACATACTGCTGCTAATGTACACATGCTAACATACTGCTGCTAATGTACAGATGCTAACATACTGCTGCTAATGTACAGATGCTAACATACTGCTGCTAACATGTACAGATGCTAACATACTGCTGCTAATGTACAGATGCTAACATACTGCTGCTAACATGTACAGATGCTAACATACTGCTGCTAATGTACAGATGCTAACATACTGCTGCTAACATGTACAGATGCTAACATACTGCTGCTAATGTACAGATGCTAACATACTGCTGCTAACATGTACAGATGCTAACATACTGCTGCTAACATGCACAGATGCTAACATACTGCTGCTAACATGCACAGATGCTAACATACTGCTGCTAACATGTACAGATGCTAACATACTGCTGCTAACATGTACAGATGCTAACATACTGCTGCTAACATGTACAGATGCTAACATACTGCTGCTAACATGTACAGATGCTAACATACTGCTGCTAACATGTACAGATGCTAACATACTGCTGCTAACATGTACAGATGCTAACATACTGCTGCTAACATGTACAGATGCTAACATACTGCTGCTAACATGTACAGATGCTAACATACTGCTGCTAATGTACAGATGCTAACATACTGCTGCTAACATGTACAGATGCTAACATACTGCTGCTAACATGTACAGATGCTAACATACTGCTGCTAATGTACAGATGCTAACATACTGATGCTAACATGTACAGATGCTAACATACTGCTGCTAACATGTACAGATGCTAACATGTACAGATGCTAACATACTGCTGCTAACATGTACAGATGTAAACATACTGCTGCTAATGTACAGATGCTAACATGTACAGATGCTAACATGTACAGATGCTAACATACTGCTGCTAATGTACAGATGCTAACATGTACAGATGCTAACATACTGCTGCTAACATGTACAGATGCTAACATACTGCTGCTAACATGTACAGATGCTAACATACTGCTGCTAACATGTACAGATGCTAACATACTGCTGCTAACATGTACAGATGCTAACATACTGCTGCTAACATGTACAGATGCTAACATGTACAGATGCTAACATACTGCTGCTAACATGCACAGATGCTAACATACTGCTGCTAACATGTACAGATGCTAACATGTACAGATGCTAACATACTGCTGCTAACATGTACAGATGTAAACATACTGCTGCTAATGTACAGATGCTAACATGTACAGATGCTAACATGTACAGATGCTAACATACTGCTGCTAATGTACAGATGCTAACATGTACAGATGCTAACATACTGCTGCTAACATGTACAGATGCTAACATACTGCTGCTAACATGTACAGATGCTAACATACTGCTGCTAACATGTACAGATGCTAACATACTGCTGCTAACATGTACAGGTGTAAACATTCATCCATTTTTGTTATACATTTTAATGCAAATTAGATCAAATCTCACTTATGAGCCTAAAACAGTCTGTGTGGCGCCCTCTCCACATTTTCAATGGTACTACATTTGAATTTGGTCCTGGCCTCTCATTGGCTCTGGAGTGTAGTGTGACATCACTCTGAGCCTGTGGTATAAAACCATCCAAGTCTCACACGCCCCTGCAGTGAATTGGAGTATTCTGGCGACATCTAGTGGTTTAAAATGTAATTACATCAGTTGAGAGCCACTACGTTCAGGTCTAGCAACAATTATCTTAGTTTTCAAACGAGGGAATGAGACTTTCTGGTGTAAACTATTGCTTTAAACCAGAAATCTGTGATTGACAAGCCAGCTGTCAATCACAGCCCAGGCCACGCCCACTCTAATACTCTAGATCAGGGGTGTCAAACTCATTTCGGTCGAGGGCTGAATAAAAAAGGCGGCCGAAAGAATAAGTGGGTTTCATTTTTTATAGTTCTTTATACAGTGCCCCCTTGAACCTTTCAACATTTTGCCACATTTCAGGCTTCAAACATAAAGATATAAAAATCCAATTTTTTTGTCAAGAATCAACAAGTGGGACACAATCGTGAAGTGGAATGAAATTTATTGGATAATTTAAACTTTTTTAACAAATAAAAAACTGAAAAGTGGGGCGTGCAATATTATTCGGCCCCTTGCGCTAATACTTTGTAGCACCACCTTTTGCTGCAATTACAGCTGCAAGTCGCTTGGGGTATGTCTCTATCAGTTTTGCACATCGAGAGACTGGAATTCTTGCCCATTCTTCCTTGCAAAACAGCTGGAGCTCAGTGAGGTTGGATGGAGAGCGTTTGTGAACAGCAGTCTTCAGCTCTTTCCACAGATTCTCGATTGGATTCAGGTCTGGACTTTGACTTGGCCATTCTAACACCTGGATACGTCTATTTGTGAACCATTCCATTGTAGATTTGGCTTTATGTTTTGGATCATTGTCCTGTTGGAAGATAAATCTCCGTCCCAGTCTCAGGTCTTTTGCAGACTCCAACAGGTTTTCTTCCAGAATGGTCCTGTATTTGGCTCCATCCATCTTCCAATCAATTTTAGCCATCTTCCCTGTCCCTGCTGAAGAAAAGCAGGCCCAAAGCATGATGCTGCCACCACCATGTTTGACAGTGGGGATGGTGTGTTCAGGGTGATGAGCTGTGTTGCTTTTACGCCAAACATATCGTTTTGCATTGTGGCCAAAAAGTTTGATTTTGGTTTCATCTGACCAGAGCACCTTCTTCCACATGTTTGGTGTGTCTCCCAGGTGGCTTGTGGCAAACTTTAAACAAGACTTTTTATGGATATCTTTGAGAAATGGCTTTCTTCTTGCCACTCTTCCATAAAGGCCAGATTTGTGCAGTGCACGACTGATTGTTGTCCTATGGACAGACTCTCCCACCTCAGCTGTAGTTATCTGCAGTTCATCCAGAGCGATCATGGGCCTCTTGGCTGCATCTCTGATCAGTCTTCTTCTTGTTTGAGATGAAAGTTTGGAGGGACGGCCGGGTTTTGGTAAATTTGCAGTGGTCTGATACTCCTTCCATTTCAATATAATTGCTTGCACAGTGCTCCTTGAGATGTTTAAAGCTTGGGAAATCTTTTTGTATCCAAATCCGGCTTTAAACTTCTCCACAACAGTATCTCGGACCTGCCTGGTGTGTTCCTTTGTCTTCATGGTTCTCTCTGCGCTTTAAACAGAACCCTGAGACTATCAAAGAGCAGGTGCATTTATACGGAGACTTAATTACACACAGGTGCATTCTATTTATCATCATCAGTCATTTAGGACAACATTGGATCATTCAAAGATCCTCACTGAACTTCTGGACTGAGTTTGCTGCACTGAAAGTAAAGGGGCCAAATAATATTGCACGCCCCACTTTTCAGTTTTTTATTTGTTAAAAAAGTTTAAATTATCCAATAAATTTCGTTCCACTTCACGATTGTGTCCCACTTGTTGTTGATTCATGACAAAAAATAATTTTTTTATATCTTCATGTTTGAAGCCTGAAATGTGGCGAAATGTTGAGGGGGTTCAAATACTTTCGCAAGGCACTGTATTTTGAAGGTATCTACATAAATGACTTCACATTTGTTAGATTTGACATTCTTTTCTGATTATAATTAGTTCAGTTCCTGTGGACTGAACCAAAACTGGACCAAATATTGAAGGTAGGAAGATTTTCTACTTCCGGGTGGATTATCGAGACTGTTGCTCCTCCCAGTTGTCAATCATTCTGGTGATTCGTGCTTGTCAAATAAGACCAGAGTTTTGTTCAAAAAGTGGAGAGGGCGGTTTTTTCCTAAAAAAATTGGAAAATCCTCCTTCATATCTCTAAGAATAAATGTAATTGAAGACATTATAATACTCATTTCTAATTACATGTTGGCTTAATATTTCTTATGGAATTACATTTTATGGTTGTTTTGTTAGTAATGGATAACATGCCATTGTTGCCTATTACCATCAATGCTGCTATTTAATATAATCATTAAAATCATCTCAGCGGTTACTGGAAATGGCCTTGACTTTGACACCTGTGCTCTAAGATGTTTATGTGGGCGGAGTCAGGCTGGACACTGGGATTTAGTTTTCCTTTAAGATAATGCCCCAACAAGAGATAGAGGAGAATTAATACTAATCCAGTAAAAAAAACAAGATTTGCATGTTTGTTTTGTCGAGTTAGTAAAGTGATTGTTGTACTTACAGTAGTTTTTTCGAGACAGTGCAGCAGGTGGTGGTGCTGATGCTCAAAGGCAGATCTGTTCTTCACACACACGGCCGTGCTGTCGTGCTCCTACACACACACAAACAGCAACTTACAATCATTTAGACATTGGTGTTGACGAGACTTGCACTAAGCAAGAAAATACTGACTTATTTTGTTGATGAATAATATATTTAGTTTGTCCCGACAGAAAAGAAAAACAACAATACATGAATTTGAAAACTAGTACTAGAACTAAACTAAATGTGGCCCAAAGTGGTACTGCAGCCTCTCCCACTCTCCCTGGCTCAGGTTGCCAGATATGCAGACGAATCCAGCTGGGACCACATCAGGCATAATGATGACAGATTAGGGCCCTTTAACGATGAAAGATTAGGGCCCTTTCATGATGACAGATTAGGGCCCTTTGATGATGGCAGATTAGGGCCCTTTGATGATGGCAGATTAGGGCCCTAGATTACAACAAATCTATAACCAACACCTTTTTCACAAAGATAGAAATCCTGGTTTTATTCCTTCTTTTGTCGTTAAAGCTGCACTAACTGACTTTATTTTTGTATTCATTACTAAAATGCTATCCATGTCCGTGTAGTGCATTGGGATATACGTCCTTTTGAAGAAAAAGTAGCGCAGATTTGTGCTGGCGTGACATTATATTTTAGATCGAGTTTTGATGAAACAAGGAAGAGAATGTGTTTCGGGTCGCAGATTGTGACCAATCACAGCGAACCACTGACCCCCACTTTCGTGAGAAATCTACAGGTCCGTTAGCACAGACGGCTGAGTTAGCACAACAAGCCGAGGAGCTAACCTGAAGCTTCCTCGTCTTCGTCACCGGGTACTGCTTACACAGCGAGACAGCCATCCAAAAGAAAGTCCCGTTCCTCCGCGCTTCCCGGTTCTATCGTTCTATGGTCACACCATCCACGTGCAAATCCATGTCCATGTATTATCCATATTGGGAGACACTAGCTCCGTCCCAACAGTGGGTGTGTGTGGGGGGCGATAGCTTCGTGGGTGCGGGGAGGGGAGCAGAAAGAGAGAGGCCAGCGAGTCCACGGCTTCAAAATCCCAAAGTCAGTTAGTGCAGCTTTAATGATTTGAGAATCATAACGAGACCTTTTTTAGTTCTGCGCCACATGGTACTTTACCAGTGAGATTAGCTCCACGCGGTGAGTTCTGGCGCCCGGATCACAGACTTTCTGATTGGTGAAACGGTGGAGGGCGGGACATCGAAATGAAAACAATAACAAGATTTAGAGGCTGGAAAAGTAATTTAGAAATTCAAATATCTCTGAACGACTGTTATCAGTTAAAGAAGTATTGGAAAAGAGCAGATTATTATTGACAGATTAGGGCCCTTTAATGATGACAGATAAGGGCCCTTTAATGACGACAGATTAGGGCCCTTTAATGATGACAGATTAGGGCCCTTTAATGATGACAGATTAGGGCCCTTTAATGATGACAGATTAGGGCCCTTTAATGATGACAGATTAGGGCCCTTTAATGATGACAGATTAGGGCCCTTTAATGACGACAGATTAGGGCCCTTTAATGACGACAGATTAGGGCCCTTTAATTACGACAGATTAGGGCTCTTTAATGATGACAGATTAGGGCCCTTTAATGATGACAGAGTACATCCCACAAACATGAGAAAGGTGCAGTGCTGCCTCTCCCTCCCTCGCTCCCTAAGCCACTTACTCCTGCCCTTGTTCCCTTCCACATCCTCTGTAATGAGCATAGTGAAGCTATATTAAAGTCCTAAGTGATTTCAGTCCGATCTTGCATTACTCCTCTCTCCTCCTGTTTCTCCAGGCTCCTCTATGGATCACATATTGAAGGTAGTCTAAACTAAAGTTCTAAGTGCTATGATGTTAGTCCTGGGTCAGATCCAGGAGCTGAGTCAGCCTGAGAGATCGGACAATCCATAACAGAATTGCTTATAACAGAATATGCAATTATTGTATGGGTCCAACATACTGTACAGTGAATACCAGAAATTACAGGACAGCAGAAATACTTTGACTTAAAAGGAAGGAGCACGGAGAAACAGATTTTGCACACACCGGCTTCGAAGTCTATACAGGACATTTATTATTATTATTATTAGTTTAAATCCTTTTTTAGGTGTTTTTACGCATGTCTTTCTGGTATAGACCTTTTACTGTAGTGTCCAAAATACTGTATTGAATTGAAATTGAAACATGTACTTGATTCAGCCACATGGGGGCGGTGTAGAGACAATATACTCATCTTCAAGCACTTTCCCAGTTATTCTTATAGGTTTATAGGAGGATTTTCTACTTCCTGGTTGATCCTTAAGACTATTGATCCTCCCAACTGTCAATCATTCTGGTGATTCGTGCTCGTCCAATAAGAGCAGAGAGTTTTGTTCAAAAAGTGGAGAGGGCGGTTCTTTCCTAAAATGTGGGAAAATCCTCTTTTAAACCTTTAAAGGACAGTATGTAATATTTTCTGAATGTGTACGTGTCCCTAGAAAACAGGCCAATGTACAAATCATAAACTTTTTCTTAAGTAAAAATACAACGAGCAAAATATGGCTCTCATTTGGGTTGCCAGTTTTGTTGAAATTTAGCTAAAAATGACGGTGCTACAGCGCCCTCTGTTGGACAAAACATACAATTTAAGTTTGATGCTGACTGGCTCTTACTGAAGGCATTTTATAGAGAATGTGTAGCAGGAACTGCTGAGTCTGCACAAGTGTCACTGATAATTCACTAGTAACTTTGTCACTAGTCACTTAACCTGTTATCAGTACTACTACAGTACTACATATCTGATATTTACTGTTATCAGTACTACTACAGTACTACATATCTGATATTTACTGTTATCAGTACTACTACAGTACTACATATCTGATATTTACTGTTATCAGTACTACTACAGTACTACATATCTGATATTTACTGTTATCAGTACTACTGTATTATTACATATCTGATTGCCATTCAAGTCACTTTACCTGTTGATATTATTTCTGATGTTTATTCTGCTCATATTCATATTCTCATATTCTCCGCTGCTAATGTATAATATAGACATCTGTAAATACTCCGAACCAAGTGCAATTATAGCCCAGAGCTTATCTCATTTTATTTTATTTTATTTTATTTTATCTTAAATTTATTGTCTATTATCTTAACTAATAGACTTTGATGTGTGCAATCTGAGTGCTCTTATCTCCTTTCTCTGCTGTAATGTGCAACAATGACACTGAAATTTCTCCACTGTGAGACTAATAAATGTTTATCTTATCTTATACATTATGATTAAACATTTGAATATATTAGAATATTTTTATTAATA